TCTTCACATAACCTCCTCCAAGTACTCACCGTGGGACGAAAAACTCGCCGCTTCCATTTCGGGTTCCACTCGTGCATTGGCTTGTCTAGTGATGTCGCTCACTTGATGGTTTCCTCAGCGTATGACCAATCCATCTCCATTTCTTCCTGCCTATTTGTTTCACAATCGGTTCCTGGTTGATTCGCTCATTGCCAGAGATCCCTGTTGCTGATTTTTTCTGGTCGGCTATCTGATCTTGAGTATTGAGCGAAGACAACTGTTAATGAAGGTCTGAAGTTTGATTGAGGCGCTCTTTGTGGTGCGCAGTGCAAGTCTCTGATCCGTATGGTGAGTAGCACTGACTGACTTCACATTGGAGCTGAAAATCCAGATCTTACTTTTGATGCTGAGTGCTGAGTGTTGACCTCCACACAGACTTGAGAGTAATGAAAGCTTGTCTTGCTTTTCCGATTCTGGCTTTGATATCCTCGTCAGTTCTATCGGCCTGTAGTTGAAACGATGCTTCCCAGGTAGGTAGGTGAGTAAAGGAGGTTGTTTCTTTCAGGTTCCTCCCATTCATGCTGGCTGATTGTTGTCTGTTGTTGTTGTTGCTGTTGGTGTTGGCCAGGAATCTTCATCACCTCTGTTTTCTCAATGTTCACCTGAAGGAAGTCCTATCTTCTCCGGTTGCTTCTTCTGCCAGCTTGTTTCTATTCACTTGCATATCTTCCAGTTTGTGGGAAATCAGACATATATCATAATTGGCGAAGTCCAGAGCCTCCAAGTTTTTTGTGTGAGTCCATTGCCCGTTGTCTGTCGCATTATCCAGTCTACTGTAATCAGGAAGATCATTGGCGATAATAGACAGCCTTGTCTCACTCCCGTCCTCACATCGAATGATTCCGTAAGTTTCCCGTTGTGTATTACTTGTCGTGCAGCATTGTCGCATATCTGTTGAATGAGGTTTATAATTGTCGATGGGACCCCTTTGGTAGTAGCGAAGTAGTTGGCAAATGACCTCTCGATCGACGCTGTGCTGTCAAAGGCCTTTTCAAAGTCGATGAAGTTGAGTGAGGTAGAGAGGTGACTGTCATTCCAAGCTTTGTTCAATGGTGATCCGTAGAGTGGCGATTCGATCAATACATGACATTTGAATAAAATCAAAATAAAATAATATAAATTTAGACATAATAATATGAGTGTTATCAATCAAATACGATCAGATGGGAAATAAGATATTTTTACTGTAAAAAGTAAAGTAACTTGTTAAAAGAGGTTTGAATAAAGGCACAGTCAACCGTAACAGAATTGGAAAGATTGGCTTCAATTAAAAATTTTAAAATGATAAAGACATTCCCATCACAAAAGTTTTGGATAAATCTGATTGTGTCAAGAAAATCACTGAACATATCGAGATGGATCCATATGAGGAAATTAAGAAGCCTTTAGATACAATAATGAATAAGGTTAAGAAATTTACAGCAGAACTAATACGCAGAATGAAGCCGTCACTGGGTGAGTCAAAATGGTTTAATTTAATGCCTAAAACTAATAATGCTAGTAGAATATAAGGTACTATTAAAATATATAAGTCAGGTTGCCCCATACGAACAATAGTAGATTTCACGAATACCCCTACTTATGAATTATCAAAGCAGTTAACAAAGAACTAACTGCAGATCCTGAACTCACTCATAGGACAAAGCTGCTCACAGAATAAATTATTTTAGGAATTCAATTATGCCTCACATTTACTATCGTTAAATTTCAAGGCAAAATATATAGACAAACAGAAGGTGTAGCAATGGCATGGACCGCCAATATCCAATGTCGTATCAGATATCGTCATGGATAGTTGGGAAAATATTGCTCTTAATACATGTAATCCTACTCCGAAAATCTGATGGAGATATGTGGATGATACTTTCACACACAGTGTTAAAAACGGAACATATGTCTCTCTCTCTCTAGCTTCTTGATGCATATAAACTCACTAGTGAAGGGAATAAAATTCACATTTGAATCGGAAAATGAACAAGGAGAATTAGCTGTGATGTTAGATGGTAAAATTAAACGAACTGAAGAAGGTAGACTGAACACTAGTATTTATAAAATAATAGATATTTGGACTTTAATTCATCTCATCCGTCGTTATCCGTTTGTGAAGGCAGATAGGCTTAGTTAAGTGTCTAACAAACAGAGCCATAGCACTAAGTAGCACAGGAATAGACCTGAATGACGAAAAAGAAGAAGCATGGGTGTTAAATAACTAACTATGCCATAAAATTCCTTAGGAATATCAGAAATGGTTAGAAGCAAATCCAAAATAATGGGGAAACTAATAGTGATAACATAAATAAGAGAGAACATAAGGCATCTACAGTTTTATTTTATAAGGAGAGGAGGAGACATCTGAGACCTTCCCTACGTAGGATTCTCAATAAAGCAGGAATTAGATTGACATTTAAACCTACAAATTCACTCAGATAGGAGAAGCTCTGTAGGTTAAAGGATCATGTTGACCTAATTAATTAAAAAATATAATTTACAAAATACCTTGCAATGACTGTGAGTTGGGTGAACTGCATAGATCAAACTAGTAGGTCAGGGGTATTCAGATTGTCGGAACATAAAAATTTAGCTAAGGGAAGAATGATTGACTTCGAGAAGATAAGTAATTTAGAAAAAAGCTCAGCACCAATTGCGTTGCATGCACTAACGCACAATCACACAATAGAATGGTAGGAGAGGATTAAAATTCTAAGAAGTAATGTGGGTAGGTGTAAAGCGACAGAGGTTGATTACTGAATCCTGCCTGGTTCATCGAGTGAATCTACACCCAGCACGTGCAACAGAAATGACTCAATGCAAATACCAGACATATGGAAGATGTTATTACCACCAGTCAGTCAGTCATCCGGTCAAATCAGAGGAGGATAATAAATAATCTAAAAATTCTATTCCAATTCACTTACATCACAACATTCTAACAAGTAACTTATTTTGACTATAAAAACACTCGTCTTATTTCCCGTCTGATTGTATTTGACCAATAACACTCGTATTATTATTTCTGAATGTACATTATCCCCTATTGATTTTATTCAAATGTCTAATCATTCAATTGTTATTCATGTATATAAATGAAGCAAGAAAGTTGTGTGAGTGAGTGACTTGATATGACTATGAGTGGCAATAGTTTGTGTTCGAAAGGTGGCCATCAGTTAATATCGCTGTATAACAACACTGTGTGACAGTTCATCAAAATAATATCTTATCCATAATAAGTTATACCCTACCACAGTGCTCAAGTGTTGTACTTATATCAATAAGTCTTCGAACTGTATAGAAAAACTATTTGATTTAATTGTATTGTTGAAGGTTCACATGTTGTTCTTGTTCTTGTTGCTTGTGTTGACTATTGTGGACCTCCAAATTAGCCTCACACTAAGGAACGAATGCCTTGTTGATAATGATTAATGCTTCTTATGTTTCATCACCTCGTCTTCCGTATGTTTTCCTGAAGTACTGTCTCTCCTGCTCCCTCTCCCAGGTTAATGGTACCAAACATAGGTCATCTGAGATATCCAGATCTTCTACAGTCTTCTTTTTGGGTTCAATGTATTCCTGTCCACTTGTTGTTCTCAGTCTGACGCATAATTCAAAGCACCTCAGTTAGAAATATCACTGAGGACAGTTGGCAGGCAGTCTTGTCTTACTTTATGTCTCCACTTCAAAATCATCGTTGGATTGGCGTACAGCGTCTTCATATTTCTCTATATAATCGGGATGATAATTCTTTGAGACGCTCTACACTGTAAAAGGATGTATTACTCTCTCTAGGATGACAATAGCACGATTCCACTCCAAATATTACAAAGACTTGAGTTGCCCTTCTTTGGAAGTTTCACAATGTAATTTTTCTTTCAAAATCGTCGGGTACACATTCTTTCTTCCAAACTTTATGCAATATTGGCATAAAGATATTCGCTGAGATATCTGAGTCCTGAAGGAATTCCGTCCAATCCTTTCATTTTTTCTCATTTTCCCTTGACTTGATCTCATTCAAGAATTCTGCTTTTGTTAGAGGACTGGTTGGTGTTGACTCTCAGTTTTATAGATCTTGAACGAGTTGTAGGTGATAGTTCAATCAAGAGTCAGTCCATTGTCTTCTTTTATCCTCCTATTTCATGGGTTCAGAAGTCCTTTAAAGTGATTCGCCCAAAACTTCCTCCTCTTCTACTCTTTCATAATTACATTCTTCTTTTGACTATCTCCTATTGGTTCTGTCTATGTTGATTTCTTCTAGGCTAGCGACGTGGTCATCTGGTATAGTGATCTGAGATCTCTCTTACCTACTTCATGGACCATTCAATCACTTCTTTATCTGCTGTATTATTGCTTGATGTGAGTTGACATTAGTACTGAAAGTATCTATCTTGTTATTTATGCTGAGTGTTGGAGATTTCCGCGTTGATTCCAAATTATTGAAGGCGTTTGTCATGTCATGTCTTTATGATTCCGACTTTGACACCCAAACTTCAAGTAAGATGCCAGAATCTTAGTACAATTGAAGATTCACCCATATTGGTTGAAGGATTTCATCACGAGCTGATATCAGTTAGAGAACCATTGGAAAAACCAGCAACAGGGAGTACTGGACAACTATTTCAAAAGCCTAGTTTGGGACTCTTCAGAAGGACGCACCCAGCGGCTTGTAACCACAAGGTCCTAGTTTCGAACCCTGGCAGTGGATACGCACTGATGAAGAGTCCTAAACTAGGCAGAAGAAACAGTTGGCTGACTAGTATTCCCAGCTGGCTTTCCCATGGTTCACCAAACTGATGTCAGCTCATGAAGACATCTTCCTCCCTAAAAAAAACCAATACTTAAAAATTCATCCATAACATTTGGATTTAACAATAAGAAATAATATGTGCACCTATCTTCTTCCTTCCGCTAGCTTCCTTCTTTTGAATTTAATCACCTTTCTTTTTTTTTAAAAAAAATGCTTTTTTCAGGTTTTTCTAGAACTTGGACAAAATCCCAATGTACGTGATAATCAAGGTCTAACGCCGTTGTATTATGCCTGTTCTGAAGATATTCATCCGGATTGTATTAAACGCCTGCTATATGATCATGCAATTCTTGGTGTAACAGACGATAAGGGTAGACAAGAAATTCATCAGGTAAGTTAACACATGCGCAACCCTTGGAAAATCGATTCGTTTTTCCCGTGTTGGTTTCCGTTAGTAACGGGATCTTCGATGAAAATAGATGATTGACGTTCCTACAGAATGTATTATTACTGTTATTATTTGCGTCAGTTTTTATCAATATTCTTAGCTTTCCTTCAAATTTAAGCATCTAAATAATTAAATAAAGCGTTTGTATACATCTTAATACGAATGGATATCTACATATCTAGATAAACAATTTTAATGTGATCTATATACTACTTACTGATACAAGTAGTTAAAATTAAAAACACGAAAAACGATAGGAATAATCGTAGGTCGATTAAAATGAAATGACGGTAGTCACATCTCAAAGGGTATACCCCGGTTGGATTTACCTCATGAATTAACTTACCCTTTGTCAACTGTGGTTATGCAATATGTTAACTGAGCGCTTAGCAATACGATAAATTATTTTATCGATAGGTACTCTCTATTGGTATTCAATGCTGGTAGGGGTTAGTGATCATGAAGTCTTAGAAGTCCAGTCTTCTGCTTGTTGTTCATCATCCACAAAGTACATTTGCAGCTCATTTTGATCTGTGATCCAAACCAAGTTAAGGACAATGAGTGTCTTAAGGACTGCCAATACATCGCCTAGTTTTGATGTGGTTTTGTTCTCTGAGCTGGATGGTTAGTCTGCGAAGCTTTCATCACCTTACTGGGTGACATCTTCAGCGCATACTTCAACCCAAAGGAGTGAGCTTTTAGATTTCTCCACGAGTTTATTAATCATCTCTCCTGGTGACCTTGGAAGTGATTGGTTGTTTGTGTGTGTTTTCACATCTTCTAGACTACTTGTATTGGAACTGATTGTTTCTGTGACTTGAACTTTGACCCTTTGTGTATGAAGTTTCTTTCTTATTGCAGAAGCAGTGATGCAAAGACTCGAAAACATAATTCTACCAAAGATCAAACCCAAGATTTGGATACGCTACGTTGACGACACATTTGTAATCATCAAAAGAAACGAATTAGATAAAACTCACAACTTAATAAACAACGTCTTCAACGACATCAAATTCACAAGAGAAGAGGAATCCGAGAACAAAATACCATTTTTGGACATCTTAGTCAGGCGAACAACTACAGGAGAATTAGAAACTCAAGTTTATAGGAAATCAACTCACACAGACCAAATCCTAAATTACAACAGCAACAACCCAATAACACACAAAAGGAACTGCATACAAACACTATTCAAGAGAGCAAGGACTCATTGCAGCACTCCCACCTTAAGGAAATTTGAAGAAAATTATCTCATGGAAGTCTTCCACAAGAATGGATATCCACGGAATTTCATCAAAAAACATATACCTCCAAGCCAACCTACCAAAGCTAAAGCCACCAAGGAAAGCGCAAAGAAAATCGCCTTACCAAATATAAATGACATCTCAGAAATCACTACAAGACTCTTCAAACAACTTCAGGAATTGACGTCGTACACAAACCAACAAAGTCGCTGCACTCAATTCTATGTCAACCAAAGACTCAACAGCGAAAGAATACAAAACCAACATCATCTACAAAATAAACTGTAACAACTGCGAAAAACACTACATCGGCCAAAGTGGACGTCCCCTTCGTCTTCGTATCCACGAACATAAGCTAGCCGTCAGAAGACATAATATCCACTCCCTCATTTCACTACACACAGACAACTACGGACATCAATTCGACTGGGACAACCAGCGTTCAAATATTAGACAAAGAAAATAACAAGAATGCTAGAGAATTTTTAGAAGCCTGGCCGGCATTCCAGTGAATCATCAATCAATAGACACATCGAGATAGACAAAATTTATCAACCGATAAGAAAGAGACTTCACACACATAAAGGGTCAAAGTTTAAGTCAAAGAAACAATCAATTCCAATACAAGTAGCATAGGAGGTGTGAAAACATACCAAAGCAACCAATCCCGTTCAAGGTGGTCACTGACTAGGAGAGATGATTAATAAACTCGTGGAGAAATCTAAAAGCTCACTTCAAATTGAAGTATGCGTTGAAGATGTCACCCAGTAAGGTGATGAAAGCTTCGCAAACTAACCATCCAGCTCAGAGACCAAAACCACATCAAAGTCATCCACCTGAGCTACAAATCTTCTCTATCATATCTACATCGCCTAGCGTTTGTCAATTCTTCGAGATATCTATTATCAATTCATAGATTATTGCATTGCATAGAACCTACACAATATATGACCGACAGACTGTGATCATAACCTTGTAATCACAAGTTTTGAGATCCTTATTTTATGGATGTCGATCGCCAATGAGTCATTTACATCATTTTCATTGAAGCAAACGATAATTCATACTTCTTAGGTTTTCAACTTGATGTGTACATCTGTGAAACGAGAAGGATGTCAATTTTCTATCAATACATTTCTCTAACAGTGTCGGTTGCATCAGGGAGACACGTACCCTGAATGCCAGTAGCAACAGATCTGATGAGTTTTGGTGTGGCTGCGTCCTCTGAGATAGCTGAATGGTTTATCTGCGAAGCTTTCATTGCTCTACTAGGCAACATCTACAGCACACACTTCAATTAGATGAATTGAGCTTTTAGATTTCTTCACGAGTTTATTAATCATCTCTCCTGGTGGGTGACCTTGAACGTGACTGGTTGTTTTTGTGTGTTTTCATATCTCTAGGCTACTTTTATTGGAACTGATTGTTTTGCTTGACTTGAACTTTGACCCTTTGTGTGCATGAGATTTCCTTCTTATCGGTTGGTAAATTTTGTCTCTGTAAGTGTGTTTATAAATTTACGATTCACTGGAATATCAGGCTTTTAAAAATTATCTAGCACACGAAAATAACCAATCAGATTCAAGGTCATCCACCAGGAGAGATAACCAATAAACTTGTGGAGAAATCTAAAAGTTCACTTCATCAAAATGAAATGTGTGCGTTGAAGATGTTGCCTAGTGGTGGGGCAATGAAAGCTTCGCAAATTAACTATCCAGCTAGCTCAGAGAAAACAACCACATCAAAATCATCCACCTGCAGATACAAATCTTCTTCGTCATATCTAGATCTAATGAAGTTACACTTAGGACTGGTATAAACAAGGCTATACAGATTTTTTAGTTGTTCATTCATGACAGTTTTCATCGCTTCTCCTTGGTAGCATTAAATCCTAGATTCACGTATTTCACCACTACTGTATAGATAATAATATCTAATGATAATAATTTGCTTTATTCCAAAACAGTACTTGTGATACACAATGGAATTCTCAGCATTTCACTACATACAGTATTGCATCCAGTTTGTACATTAACAATAAATAAAATTCTACATAGATTAAGGGTAATCTCAGTTAGTTTTGACAACAATATATTGGCATGTCAATAGCAAAGCCAGAAATGAACAGAGTGTTTGAAGATGTTAGAAAAGTAGATTCTAGCATATTTACTGGCGTAAGTGGTAACGAAAAGGTCGAGATATACAGAATGTGAAAGAACGAGGGAAAGAAAGAAGACGTTGTACCTGTATATGAGAAGAGTTCGAAAGACGAGATCCAATTGTTCTACTGACTATTTAATAAGTTATAGGTATCACGCCTAATCCTTTCTTTATCGTACAGAACACGAACGAGCCAAGTAGGGTTTGGTTGAGCTTTTGTACTTGCTAATGCGAGCATATAGTTTTCTATATAGGCTTCTGGTTTTCCCTGATGAGATACAAGGGTAGAACTGTGAATGAAGAGGGTGGTGTGAGTTAGACAGATAGAATGGATTTGGCCCATTTTTCACATGAGTCCAAGTGCCTGTTGACCAGAATGTTAACAAGCTGGTTAAGTGGCACGTTGCTTACCCTGCTGTTAGCCTTTAACATCCTGCGTAATAAGGTATAGTCTTTCTTCAGTAGCCCTGGAAAAACTAACGGGGAACAATAGAGAATAATAGGCAGGATGCAAGAGTTAACGAATCGTAAGAGTAAGGATTGGATTATTCCAGAATGTTTCACCTTCTTGATGTAGAAGATAAGACGGAATATTTTCTTAGAAATCGTCAAGATATGAGACGACCAGGAAAGATCAGTAGATAGAATGACGCCTAAGTATTTAATTTCCGACTTGGTTTCTATTTCAGTGCTATCTATGTTGCACACCTCGTGAGTGCTAACCAGTTTGTTTAGGTCAGATTTATGCCTAAAGGTGAAACTGACTGTTTGGCACTTTGAGTGATTTAAGGTTAAACCATTTTCCTTGGACCACTGGCTGATTTCTGACAAGAAGCCATTTAGTTTGGAGCAGTCACTTTGACATTTGACAGGAAAAGATACAGTCTAGTCGTCAGCATATTTAACAAAATTAATGTCATTTGAAGATGGTAGATATTACATAAGACAGTGTCCTAGCATTCAGTAGTACTATCTCACATTTTAATTTCACTCTAACTATTCCTCACTAAATTTACTTCGGAATTCCTATGGACTGAATGTGTTAAGTTGAAATGTTCAATCTCTGTCGTTAGATCAGCTTGAATGATCTCTGAAAGTTGACACTATATTACTTAGACTGATGATGACTATCAGTGGAAAGCATGATTCTCGTTTCTTCCTATTTCGGAGGAACTTGTCAACTGTGAATGTACTTGCATCGCTAAATGACTGACGATGCATTTACTGAGGCAGTAGCCAAGCAAATAGCGATGAATGGTGGGTTCGAGTCTCTATGTGGAAAGCAGGTATACTGGCATATCCAGGTGATGAATCCCAAATAAGACGAAATACCCCATCCTATATTCCTCTGCTAAACATCGTCAACCAACTAATATAAATATTTCTAATGTTAGAATTAGTACCATCGCCCACCAATTAGAATCCGAATGAAGTCTGCTGAATACAGCTCCACAATTAGTTCTTTGATGAATGCAGCTGGAATGGGAAATCTGCGTATATATATATATAATTATGACAGTAAGTGCCTTCATGACTGTTTTAGCCATAAGATATGTCCGCATTATTTATCCTTACCCCCTTCTCCTTGTTTTGTTTCAAAATTAAGGCTTGTTTAAATGGTCGAAGTGGAACATTGGAACAGCTGATCATTTATGGAGCGGATTTAAACGCTCAAGTAGAAAATCACAATACACCGATACATTTATGTGTATTAGCTGATGAACCTGAATGCTTGAAATTATTACTACGTTGTGGTGCATCACCGACAATTGTCAATTCATCAGGTCAAACACCCTATGAATTAGCTGTACTTATTGAGCGAATGCATTTGGCTTTGATTTTACAAACTTTCGATGAAAAGCAAATCGGTAAATTGTGACTTTTTATATTTTTTGGCTTATCTTTCGATTTTTCACTTGTCACCTCTGCATTTTCAATTATAATAAATAAATTTACATCTGAGAGGTGGTAGGCTATGGAAATGTTTCTGTAAAATCCTTAGGCGTTTTGTTTATGAGTCATTTTGATGGAGTTATGTTCTCTGAGCTGGCTGGATGGCTTTACCGTCAGGGTTTTATTGCCCTACAAGGCAACATTTTAGTGCATACTCCAATTTGATGAATTGAACTATTAGATTTCTCCACCTTGAACGTGAAAGGTTGTTTTCGTGCTTTTTCACATCCTCTACTACCTGTCTTGGAGCTGTCTTGTTCCCCTGACTTGAACTTTGATCCTTCGTGTGTGAGATTTCCTTCCTATCGATTGGTAAATTTTGTTTGTTTGTGTCAATGTGTCTACTAATTGACAATTCACTAGAGTAGCAGGCTTTTAAAGATTCTCTAGCATACTTGGTATTTCCTCTATTGATATCTGAACGCTGGTTGTCCAGTCGAATTGATGTCCGTGGTTGTCTGTATGCAGTAATACGAGTGAGGGAATGAATATCATGTCTTTTGACGGCTGGATTATGTTCATGGATACGAAACGAAGGAGACGTTCACTTTGGCGAATGTGGTGCTTTTTGCACTTGTTGCAATCTATTTTGTAGATGATATTGGTTTTATCCTCTTTCGTTGTTGAGTCTTTAGGTTGACACAGAGTTCAGTGGAGTGACTTTGTTGCTTTGTGTGTGACGTTAATTCTCGAAGGTATTTGGAGATTCCTGCAGTGGCCTCTGAGATGTCCTTTGTATATGATAGGGAGATTTTATTTGTGCTTTCCTTAGGGGCTTTTGGTATGATAGGTTGGCTTGGCGATATATGTCTTTTGATAAAGTTCCATGGATATCCATCCATTCTTTTGGAAGACGTCCATGAGGTATCTTTCTTCAATTTTCCTTAGGGTGGGAGTGCTGCAATGAGTCCTGGCTGGCACTCTGTATTGTTGTGTTGTAATTCAGTATTTGGTCTATAAACTTGAGTTTCTCATTCCCCTGCAGTTTTCGCTTGACTAAGACGTCCAAAAATGGGATTTTGTTTTCGGATTCCTCTTCTTTTGTGAATTTGATGTCGTTGAAGACGGTGTTTATTAAGTTGCGAGTTTCATCCAACCGAATTCTTGATTATTACAAATGTGTAATCCAAGTTTTGGGTTTGATTTCTGACACGAGGCTCTTCAATAAACTTTTCACATTTGTTCACTCAATGAGTGTGGCTTGTTTAATTCATCAATTTACCATTTCATACAGAAATTAACCGCCTTTTTGAATTTGAATTCAATCATTAAAAATTTCCATTGATAAACATTAATAAACAGAAGACCAGTAGTTCAGTGGATGGTCTCTTTTTTCGGCAAATATATGTGTGGTTGTTTTGCATGGGTGTGTATAGTAAATTTATTAGGCGAAAATACAATTAGTAAGTTTTTGGTGAGTTTCGTAATACAAAAAGCGTTCAGAGGGATTGGATGTTGATATAATAGGGTAGTAACAAAAGTGATGAGTTGTCACAAACGATTGTTAAAGAAGAGTTACGTAGTAACATGACTAGCTTGATGAAAGAGTTGTGCTCAGGGTGCATATGGAAACGTATTATCTTTGCCAGGTTGTTCTTCACTTTGTAGATTACTTTGCAAGAGGAGGCGTTTGTTGAGATGGAATGTCCAGTGGTGACGAGATGTTCGATTGTTACACCCCTTATATGGCCACTACTTCCTTTCTGCAGCCATGTTGGATAGTGTTCTATGACACCTTTTGACAGGATGCGTGTAAAACGACTGATGTACCTGGCTCCACAGCAACAGGTGGACTGATATATACACAGGGAAGTGGGCAGGTATGATATCTCCTTCAGGCTTCTGCAGATCAGCAGGCGACTAGAGAACACTACTCTCACTTCTGCTGTGAAGAAGGTTCTTCATAAAGAAGTAAGAATTCTCCTCTTAAAGACATCACCTTTAAAGTCGAGGTTCATATAAAGTAACTTCTTTGGCACGGATAGTGTCTCTTGCTTTTGGATTTTCTGTTTGATGTCTTTTTCTATGGATCTTGGTGGATATCCGTTTTGTTTGTAGATTTCGTTCAGGAAGTGTACTCCTTCTTCCAGGGTGTCAGAGCGAGTGGCTGCAGATGGATTGGACGCGAGGGACAAGAGATCTAATTATGTTTCTTTTTTGACTGATTGGTACCCAGCTGTAGAAGCTTGTCAGTTGGCCGTTCCATTTGGGTTTCCTATGGTTGGACCTTCTTAAAGTTCCTTCAGCTCTTTTTCTAAGTTGAACATTAAGAAAAGGGATTTTAGATCCGTTTTTTCTATTTCACTAGTGAACTTTATAGCTGAATGGCATTTGTTGAATATTTGTAGTAACTGATTAAGATCGTGACTATCATCACAAATCATAAATTTGAATTAAACCAAACTAAACTACAACAGACACTATCAAACAAAAACTTGACCTTAGAACCTTTAAAATCACCTTGAAGCAACCAATCACATCACTAATCAATGAATGCCATTCATGCATCAACAACAGGTCAGTACACTCATTTTTTGAGTTTTGTACCTTTGAAATATAAACGCGTAACCTGGTAAAGTGTGTCTGGTTCATAGAGCTAGGTTAATCTGTTCAGACGACTGCCTCAATGAAGAAGGGGCTTAAGATTATTAGAGAATTACTTAGAAAAAGAAATGGTTATCCGGATAAACTCATTGAGAAAAATATGAATTCAGCACCAAGGAGAGTCAGTATGGCAACAGTCCGAAAAACCTACTGTTCATAAAATTGCAGTTCCTTGGTGATAACATCAGCGAAATAATAACACAGCACCTGAAGAATGCAGTTAAAAGAGCTTATTATGCATCAGAGGTACGTTGTCTCTTCACAACCACCCCTATTCTGTGTTCGAGAAATAAGGATAAACTGCCTAAATTTGCCTCTTCTATGTGTATCTACCAGTTTGACTGCAGTTGCGGAGCCAGCTACATTGGGCATACAATTAGGCAGGTTCATCACATCGTATTTCCGGACATCATCCAACATGGTTAAGCAATGGACAAACAAGATGTATTCGTAGCTCTATTTTAGCCCACCTTGTAGATAGTGAGCACAAGGTGGACGTTAATACTGCATTTAAAATTATTTATCGTATTCCTACTAATCTTAATTTTACTCTACGAGTTCGTCTTCTACAGAGAGCTGAAGCAATAGGAATCCACCTGAAGAAGTCAGCCAAACCTGTGTGTTCAGAAGAAATTTGTACAGCCACTTTCCTTACCTTCCTTGGCCATCATCTTTACATGAATGTATAAACCGGACTAATTCACCCCTCACTCCTAAACATTTAAAATTATAAAAATTATAATTGTCCAAATTATTTTATTATTTTTTCTGACCACTTCATCTTTAATTATGTGTTATCCTTGTAAAATTAATTTATTCCAACCATTTCTACCTTTTAGTTGTGTGTATTGATTTTCTTCGTTAATTATCACCCCCGTCTGACATTCTGACACTAATTATTGTTAACAAACCTATGAGTTATCAGATTTGATAGTGTGAAATATTCCCATATTATGAATTAAAAGTCAATCTGAACGAAGAATATTCTTTTCAATAATTTCTCTACTTCAGGTTCTTACAATTATAAAATATAATATTTGCTGTCGTTACAATAAAGGCCAGTTATGCGGCGGCGGATACATTTTTAACGTAGAATAACAGATTAGTTATGGGTGTCAAAAAAATAGTCACATTTGTGTGACAAACGTGCTAGTTGGCTGAATCGATTACAAAATATTTCGGTGAAATGAGACAATGGTGGTGATTATCATAATAGAATTGTAGAGTGTGGGTAGGAATTTGACAAATCAGTTCAAATTAAAACAATTAGTTCCTTTGATAAATTTGAACAAGGCATTAAGAAGACAAATTTCGCAAGATGATATCATTTCGGAGTTTCTTTACAACCGCTTTACAACTAACATGGTTAACAATGATAAAATAAAGTTCATGAAAATTACTCAGTTAAATAAAAACAAAAGTACATACTAATGACCAGTCATATTTAGATAGGTCATGCAGTCCAGGGTAGGCGAAGATTGAAGTCTATTGATTTTTGTATACACAGTTTAGGCTGTATGTGATTAATCCAAAGTGCTTCCATCATCTTCAATAACCTTGAATTAGAGTTATGTGAAATAATTGTGAAACTGTCATTAATATTTATTTTGTGACCAGACATTAATAAGTGTTTTGCAATCGATGATGCTGGATTTCTATTAAGATTAGTCGCGTTAGGATTTTCGATATGATTTACTGGCCATTTTGGAATATGTTCTTTTCGACGACATTGGAACATTCTGTTAGCTCTACCTATATAGGTGTCACCGCAACAACTGCAGGTGAACTTGTAGATACAGTTTGAAGTAGAGTCCACAGAATTTTGTCCTTTAATCGTAGGGTACAAGGATCGAAATGTTCGGCAAGTGAGAAAAGAGATGCGGCGTAGACAGCTTTCAGGGTTATATACCGAATTCCGAAGTCGTTATCACCTACAGTTCGCTTACGTCTCCTACACATAGCTGAAGCTGTTGCAATAAGATCGACTAAACCGGAACTTTGTATCCAAAAGGAACACGTCCAAACGCTGTTCCTACCGTGGCCAACCTTGGATTGGTGATTCTGCTTCTCACCAAGAGTGCTCCTTCCCCTTAAGCCTCTTGGTTTTTTTTCTTTTTTATTTTGCTTATTATTTTAAATATCATTATTATTGTTATTATTCGTCATAATTTATGCCCTTTATGCAAAGATTCCCTCAATACTATCGAATTTTCATTTATACGGACTTATTATTAGTGATATTATCTGTTTTCTCAATATATGCCTCCACCTGTTTCATTTCACATATTCGTTATCTCACTATGAACCTCTCATTGCAGTCTTACTATCTCCTGTTTAACTCAGACCATTTTGTATTAGCCACTCTACTCGCCTGACACCTTTTATAACCTTGAACTGACTAACTTGTCAATTTTCCTACCCCACACTCTACAAATCTATTATGATTAACCACCACCATTGTCTCTCATTTCACGGGAATATTTCGTAATCGATTTCAGCCTAGCACGTTTGTCACACAAATATGACTATTTATTTTGACACCCATAACTGCTACTCTGTTATTCTACGTTAAAAACGTATCCGCCGATGCATAACTGGCCTTTATTGTAACGACAACAAATATTATATTTTTATAACTGTAAAAACATGAAAGGAAATTATTGAAAAGAATATTCTTTGTTCAGATTGACTTTTAAACCTATATGTGCCACTTGATTAGTAAACTGTTGTGTATTGTAATAAAAATGCGTGTATACGTGTATATTAGAGTAGAGCCAGGGTGAGATGAGGATCTAATTGAAAAGTAAATATTTCTTCGCTCGCTCAATCTTCCAGTTTTCTAAATTAAGAAAACTCACCAATCATAATGTCACTTTACTATGATTGGTTGTTTAGTGTCATTTACAAAGTACTTGATGGCGGCTGTAGAAGACATGGTTCAAATTCACCTTGAATGCAGCATTGATTAGCACAGAAAGTTTACTCCACAGGGAAACTTGTCACATCACAGAAAAATTCAACCTACTAGTTAGTTCACACTGAGCATTTAGGCATAACTATAAGACAATAAACTTGCATAGAAAAATATAATTTAAAGACAGTAGAACGGGCGAATGAAAGACATCGATAGATTCTTGATTTCAACAGCTTTTGTAGATGTCAAAATATATTTTTTAAATCATGGAAAATTCCCATTGTAACATTTAGAAAATCAAAACAAGTAATTCAGCGAAGAGACTCTTTTCAACAACGAATTTATCATCAATCTGTACAATCGTATATATATGGCTTTTAAGAAGTTCTCTCCGGTGAGGGAGTTGAATCATAGGTGTGATTGCATAAAATTATAGTAATAGTAGTATGAAATGCAATTAAAACTAAAATATTTGTGATTATAATCATAGTTAAATGTCAAGAGGCAAAGCAATGTCATATATAGAATAATTCATAGGATGGATAGAACTTGAAAAGGGGTGTGCAATTATAGGATTAGGAGACAAACCGAATAAAATAAAAACGTTGCGTAATACTGTGTGAAATTTGATAGCATGGAATTTAACGTTGTAAAAAAAGAGAACTGATTTAGAATGACAAGTGGAAGAAGTGAGATAATACCCCGGACAGTTCAAAGTGAGAGTAGTAATAGTAACAAATTACGTAATAAAAGAAGAGTATACAAATTGAATAGACAAAATGAAAAATGAAAAATTGGTAGAGGTAAAATATGATTAGGGATTACCATATTTTAGCATAGAGGGATTACGACGACCTTGCATCTTCATACAACTGAAAATCAGGCACACTTATTTCGTAAATTCCAGCGATACTACCTACCACCTGGCTGGTCAAACTTCTCCAGGCAGAGCAAAGTTTGAACACAGTGAAAAAGAGTCCCGGGACGTGACATTATTTGCTGAAATAATAAAGAGTATTCATTGTATGGAATGGTTGTATTCTTTGAGCTGAAATGTCTTCAGAGCTTAAATTGAAAGTGAAGTAACCATCTTGGAATTCTGCAGTGAAGATATTTCTGTTCCTTCTAATGACCTCATGTCTCTTCAGAACCATTTATACATTTGGGTTAATATGCATTTATATCATCAACCTGAAACCAATCTGGAAATCTTCGTCACTCAGCCAGAATCAACAACAAAATTCAGTCGGATTTTCAATACAAACCAACGTCAAGTCAGTCAGTTCTTCTAGACGGATCGGATCAGAAACTTGGCGGGCGGGTCACAAAGAATATTTCCAACAGGCTAACTCACACCTTTATCAACAACTGTCTTCGCTGGCTCTATACTGAAGATCAGATGGCCGGGCCGGAAAGGATCACCACCAACAGAAACTATGGGAACAGATAAAACAAGAACCAATCGCCCAGCAAATATGCAGGAGAATGTGGAGATGGATTGGACACTCTGAGGAGGCCATTGGGTGACATCGCGTGTCAAGCCAATGCTCGAGTGGAATCAGGCCGAAAGGGAATCGGCGAGTGGGACGTCAGTGCGTGGGTGACATGTAGGAGATCGTGTGAAGAGGAGTTGAAACAGTATGGACTAACATGGATGCAGGTGAAAAGTACAGCAGAAGACAGAAGTAAGTGGAGACAAGCGGTTGAAGCCCTATGTTCCACTAGGAACCCAAGGGAATAATAATAATATATTGATTGTTTCAATAATCTTATATTTGACATTCTTGTCATAGGATTCATTCCTTCCTAGTTCACAAATTTGATCCATATCAGCATGTCTGCTGGGTGAAGACCAGCCCTCACACCAGCCATCTAGTAATTCCTAAGCTTTTTCAGTATCTCCGCTATTTATGGGCTTTCATATGTCTCCAGTATAATTGAGTATATATATATATAATGTATATCATGTCTTTTGACGACTAAGTTGAAGGGAACATCCTACTTTGCCTAGCATTCTAAAAATGTAAATAGAGATGTACTCAGCTCTTAAGACGTCATCTGGAAGGATAAACAAGGCTTCACAGTAAAAGTCACCCAACCGCAAGAACACAATCACATCTGAATAATGCAAATACAAGTGTTCTCCTAACTGGCCAGTGAGTTCATGTCGTAGTCTAAAGGTTTTGGGTTCGATTTCCCGGTAGGGTCAGAAAAGTGTGCTGTTGAAGAGCCCTACTTTAGGACGAAACGATTGTCCTGAAATCAATTAATTCCTCATGCATTCAATGTACACCTTTCTTAGCCATCAGTTCAGTTATTTCTTAATTAATTTTTTTCTATGATTGATTTTTGTTTTTGTATATTGTAGAAGGGGTGGGCAAAACACCAGTATATAACAAAGACAGACGACCAACAATTCATGGACCACGTGCTGTTTTTGAATATTTAAATTTTGCCAACAATGTCAATACTAATCCTGCTACTGCTAATACGCTGAATAAACTACGTAAATCGATATCAGTCGATGGAAAACTACCTGAAGTCAACTATCGTCGATGTTTATCCTTTGATCCAGATTGTCTTAGTAAACAAGCCTCACCGATACTGAACGGCAAATTGACATTCACTGGAAAGAATAATGATATTCAGTCGCCTGGAGTTAAACCCCTATTGCCAATCAAAACATCGACAATAAATAACAATAATAATGGTAATAATAATCGCTCTGGACAAGTTGTTTATTCCCGTAGTAATTCCGTTGGTAGGTGATGATCTTTATTTATTTTGCAACATTTGTAAACATATATAAAGATTGTTCGGAATATTCCTATATTGAGTCATAAAAAAAAGCACAAACAGCGAAGACAATTTTCCCTTTTCGACGATTCATTTTCATGAGCTGCGGTACAATCGTAATTATAATTAACACAGAAATTATTTTGGACCAATCAGATACTGGTAAACTTTGTCCTTGAAAATTCTACTACATAATGTAAGGTGTAATGTAAGAAGGGATGTCTAATTTTAAGTTAGAAAGGAGACAGAAGTTGGCATATCTTAACAAGTATGAGATAATGACTAATCAGTAAGCTCGTATAGAATGGACAGGAACTAGTGGGAAGGCTATAAAGTGTTTTTGTATAAGATCTCTTTGGAAAAAGCAATGTTATTACTAAACAGTAATAGAGTGGTAATAAAATGTGGATGGTAGGAATAGTAATAATAATAAAAGTATTAAGAACAAAAATAATAATAATAGTGAACTTACATATTAAAGGAAAGAAGCCAAATTGTGGTAAGAACTTTACTCTGGCCATGGTAGGGCAAGAGAATGTATGTATCGCTTTTGTATGCACAGGTCCGGTTTCAGATCTCGAATAACTTATGCTTCAGCTATGTACAGATGGCGTATCCGAAATCCCTTTGTACGATATTGAGGGACTCTGTGTAACACTGTGAAGCAATCATATGGGGGTGCTCGACTTCCGGAGATGACAAGGTGTTCGAGGATCGAGCTGTTGCTATTCTTCTTTTCTCCTCTGACTGGCCAAACAAATTGGACAGTGTTCCAGAATACGTTTGTGGACTTGATGTTGCGTATGGCCGATATACTTTAATCCACACGAGCAAGTAAATTCATAAATACCCATTGAAGTGGCCAAAAGCGGTATCTTGTCCTCAGCATTAGACTAGATTAACTGTCTGCAGGAAAATATGATACGTAGGAGTGGCTGTTGGAAATGTCTTCTTCAGACATTTAGAAAGGCGGTTTCTGAGAATTTCTACTGCGATATCACCTTTGAATGCTAGTTTCATGAAGACAGTCTTCTTAGGAACCGTTGTGATGTTTGATTAAGTGTGTGGTAACAGCTGGCTTTTAGCCGAAACTGGTAGACAGTTATTTACGTCAATTTTTATGTCCCTAATATTGGTCTTGAGAAAAATGAGAACAAAGGCTTTGCGCAGGTGGATACAGTTAACACATATAGATGATCTGACATTCAAGAAACAGCCACAAAGAGATGAAAGGTTAACTTTCTGTGAGAAACAACCAATCAGAAAACTGTGGTGTTTGTCTGCTAACAATAATCTATAACAATGTACAAGAAAGTCTATAAATATGTGTTGATTTGCTTAATAAACGATCGGCTGCCTGGCTGGTCCTTGTCTTCTGTTGTTACAAGTGGATGAGTGAGTGGCTGAGTCAATAAGTGAGCAATTAGGTGGGCCAATGAATGTGTTAGATGCTGACTGATTGATTGATTGCGTGAGTGAGTGAGTGAGAGAGAATAATGATGACAGAGTATCGGTTATGGATACTGGCAGTCAGACGCTTCTAAAATGTGTGTCAAGACAAGCCTAAATGTTGTTTCACACCCATCTAGTTCGGAGTGGAAAATACACCCACAATAACACACCTCTGTATCAACCTGTTCTCTGTATTCCTCATTAGCTTGTAACGAGAGAGGACCGGGGCCCAGGCAACAGATTGTTTATTGAGAAAATCAGTAGATATTTATAGATTTTTATGTACATTATTGTTAGCAGAGATGCAACCTCTTCTCATTGGTTGTTTTTTCGCTGACTGTTATTCTGCACTGCTTGTGACCGTTTCTCAGAAAGCTGAGCCATGTATCTGCAAATCATACTTCCACACTTTAACTTCGCTGTGATTGGCTGGCGATTTTCTCAAGGTTAAGCTTTGTTATTGTCTTTTTTTCTCATGACCCCGATCGGAGACGTAAACATTGACGTAAATTGGTGTCTACAACTTTTGGCTTGCAGCTAACTCTCACCACATTCTTAATGTACAACTGCAGCAATACAGTGGTGTAGAGGTATAATGCTTATCAGTCACTCAGGTGGTCCAGGGTTCGATTCTCGGCTGACGCACTGCCAGACCTCTGTTAGCTAATAATAAGCACAGTAAAGATGGAAGGTCGGACGTGAGACTAGCAATCCCACCCCGTAAAAATAATACCACTGCTATGGAAACTTCAAGGCTCTAGCTTGAAGCCCTATGTTTAAGTGGGAACACAAGGGAATAATATGATAATAAAGTAGCGATTGTCCCTAGGCTCTCGCCTCCTCCTCACACCGTCTCCTACGTCTCACCGCCTAAATGACGCTCAAGTCATCCTTTTCCATTAAGGTGTGATGTCACTCAGTGATCTTCTCAGGGCATGTTCAGTCATCTATCTCCATTTCTGTTGATAGATCTTTTTGGCAACTGCTGCATGTTTCGTTCATTGAGAGTTTCCTGTCGCTTATCCCTTCTGGCCATCTGGTCTTCAGTATAGAAGAAAGGTAACTGTAGGTAGATATCGGCAGCCTGTTTAATGAAAAGCTTTTGACCACACATTAAGTCTCTGAGCAATAGGCATAGTGGTGAAAATTCGAATCTTGTTCATTTTTGCTGAGTGTAGTAGACTTCAGGTTAGACAGTCCAAAAAGAGTTCAACTCACCCGATATTCTTCCCATGTTCTGTTTGGGTTATTTAAGTTTATCAGAGAAACTCACTCCATAATACAATTTTTTGTTTTGAATTACCCTTTAATTATTGTTTCTTTGGTGACTATAAACTAAAGAAGCCCAAAATGAAACCACCTAATGAACGGATGAATGACCTTGACAAATCCGTGTCGACCAATCAGATGCATCCGAAGTAAAAGCGCATAGTTTGAATAAAATGTTTGCATAAAAGTAATGCAATATTAAAAAATAACTACTTAGGATAAAGTTCTTTTATATGTTCCAAGAAAACCTTCCACTTTCTGATAGACAAGTCCTCGTAGTTAAGTGAAACCAACTTCTGTACATCGATTCGTTGAGATAACTATAAATAATCATGTTTCTTAACCTGTTCACCTCTGTGATCCTCTTTTTAGGTGACTGCAGAAACTTCCGATGGAACTCATGTGAGTCTCGTCGAAAGGATTACTGAAATCGTCGGTATAATTGACTCTGTTGTGAATATATTGCCTAGGGATGAGGGCTGGCTATAGCTGCTCCATTGGTATGTGTGTGGGTGAGTCATTGTGCCAAGCAGGAGTGAACGTTAGATAATAGGCAATAAAACATTAGCACTACAATTAACCATCGTGTAGACATATCCTTTTCTCAGGTAGGTGTCATAAAATCTCAATAACCACCTATGATTGGCACTCAATCTACGTCGATTATATTCCCCTGTTCGTGAGCATCGTCTCATCTACATGAACAATAAAATCGACCCCACCAAGTATTTCCATTATATTGTTCATTTCCAATGACGCTATATCTCTGCAGTGCTGATACGATCGGTCTCTTCAGAAAGCAGTTGCCACAGATCCTCATAATTTTCGTTAAAGTTCACTTCGGCAGGATCTATAAACTAAAATCAACAACAGCATACCTTTTCGAACTAATTTTCCACTTCGGAAGCTTTCACATCTATAGATGAATCCATCAATGCAACGGGCATAACTTTGCAAATGCATTCCACCTCCACATCTACACGTTTTCGGCCTTCTTATGAGCCTGTCTTTCAAAAAGTAATTAAATATTAGGTCTAGATGATATCTGCTACGTGATTGGTCTACACCATCCGTAGTTTCATCTGATTGGTTGCTCAAGGTCATTCATCCGGTCATTAGGTAGTTTCGTTTTGGGCTATTCTAGTTTAGTGTCATTGAAACACTTTAATTTGTGTATCCTTTCTTCTTCTCTACTGCTATCATTTCGGTTTTGAAGGTGTCCCGCTGAACCTCAGGAAGATCAATCAGCTCAGGTAATCGTTATTGATTTATTAATATGAATGCTGAACAAAAAAAATTGCATACATTATTTTTATACTATTTCTCATCGCCTGTTTCCCGACTCGAACCTAAGGCTTCAAATTCTGAGCTTTGTTCAAGTTTCAGTAGCGGAGGTGTTACCTTTTTGAATGAGGTGGGATTTTCAGCCTCATATACTGAACCCTTCATCATGTCTGGGCATACTATCAGTTCGATGAGGTATCAAAGAGATTCTGTTGGTCGAGAATTAAACCTCAAACTGGCTGGTGTCTGTCATAGCTATATCACGGAATATACACAAAGGATCATAGGAATTATTAAGAAGACAGCTGCAGCGAAGAAAATTTTCTTTCGACAAAGTCATCCACCAGGCTGTACATTCGTGTATTTATTATAAATATGTAGGAAAGTTCTAGAATAAACGGGAGACGGATAAAACTCAAACAGAGTAGCATTATAATTACTGAGAAGAATGACACTGGTTGTGCAATTTGAGTTTAGAAATGTAGAAATGACAAAACAGACAGGATGTTTGGATAAAAGCAATCTAGTGAGATCATAACTAATGTGACGAATATTTGTAGAAATAGTAAAATGACAAACTAGACAGGAAGTTCGGATATGAAAATATGATAGTGTAAAAAGGGATTAAGAAAAATTTGAAAATAACGTGCATAAACAGGAAGATTAGATAGTAAAAGGCAATGGGATGGTCATTACTAAAAGAATTACCTGTTTATGATGGCCATGTTAGAGACAAGGATTGGACATATTTATTTTGGATATAAAGCGTGTGTTTGAGATTTTAGATAGTGCCTCGGCTATACCCAAATGTCTTAAAATTTCACTCCCTTTAATAGGTTTGATCGAATCTTGTACATGATTTTGAAGGATTTTTCGAAAGGCACTCAATGTCCCCGAATGGACCAGATGTTCTGTCACTGAACTATATACCCATTTTCGTTCTCCTTTTACTAGGCAGGCTGAAAAGTGCTCACGAGCGACCATATTTATCGATTTGTATAGGTCATGACGGAGGATAACTTGAGAAAGAGATTGAATAACTACTACCTTTAGACGTAGGAAATGCATCAGTGTCTTACTGGCGAAGTGATCTATACACAATGAAGACGGTCAAGGCAGTATCTGTCAAAGAAATGTGTCTCGAGTAAAAGCAGTTTTCTTCTGGAGTCTAAGTTAATCAAAATTTTTTTCAGATTGTGGAAAACACCCATATGGACATTAGAAAGAAGAGAACATGAAGTTCAGCGAAGACGACGATCTTTTCGACGATTTCATTCTCAAAAGTAGCTGTACAATCACATTTAAATACACAGTGTTTACATGGATACATTGTCTTGCTTGATTCCACATAATTACGACGGTGAATAAAAGGTGATAATTGCTTTCAACTAGACATGGATGGCTTTTATGAGAGGCTTAAAAACAAAATTAACACAGGATTAGAACGGAACCAAAAATTGAAATAATAATTTTCAACTTGAAATGAAAGTTAGAAGGTGGGAATATAGACCACAAGAGCCTTAGAAACACAAAAAACTGCACAGGATTAAGATATAATTGTAAAATAGTTAATTTTTCTAAACGAATTATAAATGTGAACAGGAAGCGTATGGAAACAAACTTAAAATAACTGTTTTTATAACTGAAAACAGAAATGGGGTGAATCGAATGAAGATAGAGGGAGTAAGAATCACACACACACACATGCACAGCGAACGAAAAAAGATCAAAATCAAAGAAAGAAAGAAAGAAAAACATGGAGGCTGAGGGAAAATACCGAACCATGTCCATGGTAGTTGTAGAGGTTGGACTAATTTCTTTTGAACACACAGCTCCAGCTTCTCGATGCATACTGCAGAAGTCCTCACAAGTTGAAAATTATTATTTCAATTTTTTTAGTTTCCATGCTCATTTTTACACACTTGTTATCCATTGTAATCCTGTGTTAATTTTGTTTCTAAGCCTCTTGTTAAAGCCATCCATGTCTAGTTGAAATAATTATCACCTTTTATTCACCGTCGTAGTTATGTGGAATCAAACAAGACAATGTCTCCATGTAACACTGTGTATTTAAATGCGATTGTACAGCTACTTTTGAAATGAAATCGCCGAAAAGATCTCAACATCTTTTTGCTGAACTTCTTGTTCACTTCTTGCCAATCAAAATTTGTCTACCATAAAACTCACCCCCCTTCTGCATTGCCTATATGGATGTGAACATCGTAATCCACAAAAGAGAATATAAGCGCTGAACATCAGGATTAGTAAAGTCGGAAGTATTTCAAAACTATTGATCATTTAGGGTCATTTCCAATGTATGAATAGATATTATACCCTCTTAGTACTCTTTAGAAATCACCAGTCAATGGTGGGATTGGAAAGGCATTTTCGCTTACAGTAAGATAACATGGCATAGCTTTAATGGCTTAGGGTAGGATGCCTGCCAACGATGCATGTAATCGAGGGATCGATTTCCGGCTGACGCACTCCTAAACCTCACGTCACTGCTATTAAGTCCACAAATGAGAGACTATCAACCTCATCCCATTAAATCAACACCATCCCTGCTGAAACTTTAGAGGTTAGACAAATATGAAGCCTTGTGTGTTCCAGGCAGAAAGCAGAAGGAATGAGAAAGGCGGCAAAAGTAAACTTTCGACACCACTAACCACCAATCAGCAAACGAACCTGAACGGACCAATCACATTAAAGAGGGATTTATGGTAAATGGAAACGTACATTAATAGAAAAAAACATTAAAAAAAGGATAAAACGGTTACAAGGGGTATCTTTCTCCAACATGTGAGAGAAACATCTCCCAGTTTAGCATGGGACTATCAGTGGAGAAGTCACACCACATTCTGTATATATATTCATCCAAATGACTATAAATGAGATCCTTTTGAGATCCGTTTATAGCCCTTATCCTGTTTTTCAAGCGGCCCCAAAACCCTTCAATGGAATTCGTATGAGTTCTCGTAACGGGATCCATGAAATCACTTGAATGGTTCACTCTGTGATGACAGCGAATTATAACCTTTCACTCGTCCATGTGTATAATTGACCCCCGTTTAACAAGTTTCGTTATAAAAGATATTAAATTGGTTGCTTTTCTGTCAGCCATCCGTTCGACGAATCCCTTTCGGAGGAAGGCGTCGTATAAACCTAATACCCAAATGTTGTTTGCTGGCTGGCGACCACGGTTGTATTTCTTTTTCACTAGTACACTGTTTCATCGACATGCACGATAACGTCTTCTCCACCCAGGAAATAAGTGATTTTCTCCATCTTCCACGAAGCCATATCTCTGGAATGCTGGTACCACTGAACTGTTGAGATGAGGCTATTCTCCGTTTCGGCAGCTGCTGCTCTCACCGGTTGTTTCAAAACCCAGTAGTAGCAGATATACAAAATCTCGGTTAGGGAGAGATGTGACCTAGCGAAAAAGGTTCCTACGAAATATTAAAATTATCAGCTTACCCTCTCTAATGCCAGCACGATTCAAAAATATAGCACAACGATGAACAAATCCATCAGTTGATCTGCTATAGCTTTTTAAGGTCATGATACCACCACACGAACAAGTTCGCTCCTTCCGGAGCAACCCTAAATCCAGGCAATACTGGAAAACCCTGTCCTCCTCGAATTGCAATTGTAACCTTGTAAGGGCACGCATTAGAAATGAATCAACCGCTATACAACATTGAACTACGTTCGTGAATCTCATTGGATAATTCGATGTCGTTCACTGATCGGTAATTAGTGGTGTCGAAAGTTTAACTTGGCCAGAAAAACTGTTTAATCACAGTATAACAGAGCTGAAAATTTCCTTGTAAAATTTGCATTTTCAAAGCGAGGGCACGATACTCTTTCTGTCCTGATCACATGAAATGTACTCTGTTTATTTATCCAACTTTTTTTTAGACAAAACTTTCCCAATATTCGTATACGTTCTGTCACTTTAGAACGTGGTACATCTGGTTATGGTTTCGTTATGCAAGGAACAGATAGTAAGCATATTGAAATATTTGTATAAATGTGTATTTCCAGTTATATTTCTTCATATTGATATCAGTTAAAGAATCATTAAAAACAAGGGGGTAAAGGACAACTAATTCGTCCTAGCTTGGGACTATTCATTAGTGCCCACCTATAACTGCTTAGCCAGGGATATAACCTAGGGCATTATTATTTCCTTTAATTCCTAGAGGGAATTAGGGCTTCAGCCTCATGCCTCCATTGCTTTCGGTTCTCGGCTAAATGTTTTACCTGACTTCAGGCCTGCCTACATGCTTCCATCTCTTCATCAAAAGACCTCCTCCAAGTCACTCCAACGTGGGACGACCAACTCGCCGCTTCCCCTTCTTTCAGGTTCCAATCGAGCAATGGCTTGTCTAGTGATGTCACTTGATGGTCCCTCAGAGTATGGCCGATCCATCTTCATTTCTTCCTGCTTATTTGTTTTACAATCGGTTCCTAGTTGATTCGTTCCCAGAGATCCCTCCATGTTGCTAGTCTTTTCCGGCTGGCCATCTGATCTTGAGTATTGAGAGAAGACAACTGTTGATGAAGGTCTGAAGTTTGTTTGAGGTGCTCCTTATGACGCGCCAAGTCTCTGATTCCTTTAGTTACACTGATTTCACATTGAAGTTGGAAAAAATCTGGATCATATTTTTCATGCCGAGTGCTGTTGACCTCCACATAGACTTGAGAGTAATGAAAGCTTGATTTGCTTTCCCGATTCTCGCTGCTTTGTCATCCTCATCAATTCCGCTTGCCTGTAGTTGAAACGATGTTTCCCAGGTAGCTAGGTAAAGGAGGTTGTTTCTTTCAGGTTACTCCCATTTATGCTGGCTGATTGTTGTCTGTTGTTGTTGCTGTGGGTGTTGACCAGGAATCTCCATCACATCCGTCTACTCTATGTTCACCTGAAGTCTTATATATCTTTTATGATTCTTCTGCCAACGTGTCGCTTTTGATCACTTGCATATCTTCCAGTTTGTGAGAAATCAGACATATATCATCGGCGAAGTCCAAATGCTCCAAGATTTTGTGTGGGTCCATTTTATGCCTGTTTCCTCGCTGCCCGCTGTCTGTCACATTATCCACTCCACCGCAATCAGGAAAATGATTGATGATAGTAGACAGCCTTGCCTCACTCCCGTCCTCACTTCGAAGGCTTCCGAAAGTTTCCCGTTGTGGATTACTTGTCATGCAGCATCGTCTTACAACTGTTGGATGAAATGTATAATTGTCGGCGGCACCCCGTAGTAGCGAAGTAGTTTCCAAATGACCACTCGATCGACGCTGCGCTATCGAAGGTCTTTTCAAAGTCGATGAAGTTGAGATGGAGAGGTGACTGCCATTTCAAGCTTTGTTCAGTGATTATCCGTAGAGTGGCGATTTGATCAATACATGACTTGTTTCTCCTGAATCCAGACTGTCCCGGTTGAAGTTTTTCATCGAGAGTGGCTTGTTTGATTCTCTCCAGAATGAGGCGAGTATGTCCCTATTCAGTCAGAAAAGACACATGTTAGAAGTAGGAAATCATAAACGACTGGTATCTAGTTCATTGGTTGAATATTAACGTCTTCTCATTGTCAGTTGAAGATTTCTTGTTCGATTCCCAGTGATGTCATGAAGGTGTACTAATACAGAGTCCTTAAGTAGGCGGTAACAACTGTGGCGACTTTCACAGGCTCTCTAGCCGGTTTCGACTGATGATTAAATCCAATCAATTAACCGATTATATCTTCTCACAAGTTAACAACTTAAAATTATTCTTACCTAGCGATATTTCTAGTGAGATAGTCGAAGATAAACACCGGAAAGCCCTGAACATAGGTTTCACCCTTTTCTGATACTTTTCAGTAAGGTGACGTTAGAAGAAACCAACGCCCTCTGTCAGATTTCATAGAATAATAGAATGCAGACAGTCTGAACACTAAGAACCAAACCGATGACATTAGTTAGCAGAGAATAATTAATGAATGGATCCGTTTCAGTTCTACGGGAAGTCAGTGATAAGCTAGAATATCTTAGTTGTAACATTTCTAACTGCCCTATTAGTTCATGCGATTTGAAATCTTAGTTCCTTCATGGTGAACTATACGTCTTGCTAACAGTTGCCAACAGGGACAAACCACCAATCCACGAGCTTCCCGCTGACTACTTCCAACCATCTAGTAGTATTTTTTTTTTTTTTTTGATTTACAGCTTGATTCCACACTGTATTTTTGGTACAAGTATGGAATTTTCAGCATGGATATCGGTAGCCCAAATTTTGCAGGCCGACCATAGATATCAGGTGTGCGTCGGCGTGGGCTCGAACCCCGGACCATGTGCATGGTCGGCGAGAGTCCTAACCACTGTGCCACCGTCTGGAATTTTTTGTACACCCCCTTGATCTATCCACAGATGATCAGTATTAGTGGACTCACATACATTTAATAGCCTTACCAGTAAGCTATTCAGTCTTGTGATTGACCTCGTGTGTAGGACTGTGTAATGGATACTTTTATGGGACCCTGAGCAGAAATGAATGCCACGCGTTCAGTCCCTCACTTGGTAGCCACATTGAGAAGATGACTGATCGAATTCAGTCTTTATTAAATCAAGGACTAGACGCACAACATTAGTAATTAAATAGTGTCCTATTAAAATATATATGTATACATAAATATATCCAGCATAAAATAAACTAATCTGATTGGTTGTATGAAATCGAATACTGACCAATAAGACTACGACACTGAAGTACCATAAGTTGTCGCTTAGCTGACACAGTCAATAATTTATGTAGCCATCTTAAACCACTGATAAAATAAAGTCAATCAAATAGATAGGACTGGTACTGAGATTGTTGTTTCCTTTGAGCTAAATGGCTTATTATTTCAAAGCCTTTATTGTCCTCCTAAACACAACATCCTCAGTGGCAACTTTCCTTGTTCGAAAAAAGAGGATTCCATCTGAATGGCTGAAAGGTGGCAAAGTTAAACTTTAAGCGGTATTAACTACCAATCAGCGAACGACCTTCAACGCACCAATCACATGAAAGAAGGATTTTTGACTTAGGAAAACGTATATTTATGGAAAAAAGCATAAAACTGCATAAAACTGTTACAAAGGGTATCTTTCTTTAACATGTGACAGAAACATCTCCCAGATTAGCATATAAGAGTGTCGATATTCATCAAAATTACTATAAACGACATCTTTTTGAGATCCATTTATAGCCCTAATCCTATTTTTCAATCTTACTTAAAATCCTTCTATAGAATTTGTATGTCTCTCCGTAGTGGGATCCACGAAATCACTGGAATGGTTCACTCTGTGATGAATATATCCAAGAGAAGACAGCGAGTGACCAGTATGTACCATGGGTCCCTGTTTTAGGAGTCTAGTAATAATAGGTATCAAAGCAGTTGCCTTTCTATCTAATATTCTCTCCACGAATCTTTTCTATAGGGAGATGTCATATCAACTGTTATATACTCGTCGAGTAGTTAATAGTCCTGACGCGGAAAGAGGGATTTCAGAAGACCACCAGGTTTACGGTGATACTTGTATTTTCCAGACAAGGAAAATAAATGTCACACAAGAGTGTGAGTGAATAAGTACGAAATGTACGGACAAGTAATCAACAAGTGTCTGATACAAAAGTATATTTGAAAATGGCTAATACACGTGAACCAATAAGATAACGTCTTACCATGATTGGTTGTAATGTCATGCGACAACAAGGTTATACATGTTTATTTAGTTAGTGGACAGATAAAAGCATATTGTCAGTTACAATGAAATATCGATCCATATACACATAGCAAAATATAACAGACTGTCAAAAACAAACACACACATCATGTGACTACATATCATCAACCAGTCGTCCAAACATTGTTGGCTTGCTTGACAACCACGGTTGTATTTTTTCTTCAGTAGCACAGTTTCGTCCACGTGTGCAACAACACCTTCTCCTAATAACGAAGTAATTCTCTCCATTTTCCATGATGTGACTTCTCTGCATTGCTGATACTACTGAGCTGTTGACACGAAGCTATTCTCGGTTTCAGCAGCCGTGTCTCTCACAGGCTGTTTTAAAACACAGTAGTTACAAACCGTTGACAAAATCTGGGTTAGGGAGAGATGTGACCTAGCAAAAGTTGTTCCTACGAAATATTAAAATCATCAGCTAACCCCCACCTCTTAATACTAGCTGGTCTCAAGCAAATTGCACAAGGATGAACATATCCATTAGTCGACCTGCTAAAGCTTTTTAAACTCATGACACCACAACATGAACAAATCCTCTCCTTCCTTAGCAACCCCAAATCCAGGCAATGTTGTAAAATCTTATCCTTCTCGAACTGCAAGCATAAGTTCGTTAGAGGACGCCTATGAATCGAATCAAGAGCTAAACAACCTTGAACCAACGTGCATGAACCTCATTGAACCATTTGAGGTCGTTCGCTGATTGGTAGCTAATGGTGCTTAAAATTTTAACTTGACCTGAAAGGTTAGAGAGCTCATTCCGTCGATTTCTAAGCAAAGTTATTCGTGCATACTGCTAAAGAGCTCCAAAGAATGAGACGAAACAGCTGCTTAGTACTTGTTAGTTTTGATAAATTCTCAAATTTATCTCACTCTCCGTCTATTTCTTCTTTTCTTCATTTGATATTTTGTAGACTTTAAAGAAAGATTTAATACCTCTTTGGTTTTACCAACTCAGCGTATTATGAGTGTTCAACCGGATAGTAAAGCTGAAAAAGCAGGACTTCTACCGGGTGATTACTTCATTGAGGTGAGTTCAGTAATTATCACTAGTGTTAGTATTCTGTGTTATATATTATTGGTATTATTATTGTTGTTTCTTTTAATTCCTAGAGGAACATAAGGCTTCAGCACCACGTCTCCACTACGTTCTGTCCTCTGCCAACGTTTTCATCACCTGGCTTCATGTCTGACCACATGCTTTCAGCTCCTCTTCTCTGCATGACCTACTCCACTGCATGTCACCTTCGCACTGACAACCGACTCGCTGCTTCCCATTCCATTCGGATTCCAATCAAACTATGGCCTGGCGTGTGATATCACTCACTTGATGGTTTGTTTTCTCAGAGTATGGCGACCAATCCACCTTCATTTCTTCCTGCATATTTGTTGAGCAATTGGTTCCTGGTTGGTTCACTCCCAGAGATCCCTACCGGTTGCTGATGTTTTCTGACCGGCCATCCGATCTTTTTTGATTATAGTTTGATTCCACACTGTGTTTTTGGTACAGGTATGGAATTTTCAGCATGTGATATCGGTAGCCCAAATTTTGCAGGCCAACCATAGATATCAAGTGTGCGTCGGCGGGGACTTGAACCCCAGACCATGTGCATGGTCGGCGAGAGTCCTAACCGCTGTGACGCCAATGCATAAAGGGATGATCCGAAGACCTCCCCACTAGCAAAAGTTATGCGTCCGAGCGAGCCCGATTAGGGATCGTCGCAGGCTTCAACACGCCGAAGTGCAAAGGTGAACCTCCGTCAGGGGCCAGGGCATTTGTGATCACCCTGGTCCCAGCGCCAAGCAAAGACAGCTGTTGATGGAGGTCTGTAGTTTGTTCGAATTGCCGTTCGTGACGCGGTGCGGTGCCAATTCTCTGAACCGCATGGTGACTAGCAGTGAATTCACAATGGAGTTGAAAATCTGGATCTTATTTTTCATGCTGAGTGCTGAGTGTTGATATCCACACAGACCTGAGAGTAATGAAAGCTTTCCTTGCTTTCCCGATCCGCGTTTTGATACCCTCCTCAGTTCCGTCAGCCTGCAGTTGAAACAATGATTCCCAGGCCGATAGTTAGGTAAAGGAGGTTGCCTCTTTCAGATCTCTTCCATTTATGCTGGCTGATTTTTGTTTTTTGTTGTTGCTGTTGATGTTGGCCAGGGATCATCATCACCTCTGTTTCCTCTGTGTTCACTTGAAGTCATATCCCTCTTTGATGCTTCTTCCGTCAACTTGTTGCTTTTCATCACTTTCATATCTCCCAATTTGTGGGAAATCAGACATATATATATCAAATCGGCGAAATCCAGATCCTCCATGTATTTTGTCTGGGTTCATTTTATGCCTGTTTCCCCACTGCGCAGCCTTCTGTCTGTCGCATTATCCTCCGTGTTACATAGCCAGTTGATATTCGGTTTTTGGCTTTTATTATTATTAGTGTTATTTCCTTGACTTTCTAGTGAAATATAGGCTTCCACAAGCATATCTTTATTTCACTCTATTCCCTTCAGTTTTTCTCAGCTAGCCCAACGATTGTACCCACACAGACTATCAGCGATAATAGACAATATTTTCTTACTGCTGTCTTCCCTTCAAAGGCTTCATTGAGCCTTACATTGTGAATCACTTGCCATGTGGTATCAATATATAACTGTTGAATGACAGTAATAAATATTGATGGCACTTTATAACTGGTGTAACGGAGTGCTTGTTTCATCCAGACAAATATCGCATATATTTTTTATTTCCTTCACGTTCCCCCAGTGGAACATAGGGCACCTTCAAGCTAGTGGCTTGAAGTTTCTGTAGCAGTGTTCAATTTTACAGGATGGGGTTGCTAGCCACCTCATGCCCAACCTTTCCTCTTTACCAGCATTATTTCTGGCTGGCTTAACGAGGTAAAGGAGTACGTTCGTGGCCGGGGATCAAACCTCGGGCCATGTCAATGGTCGGCAAGCGTCCTAACCGATATACGACCGATGTATACTGGTAGCTCCAACAGTAAGGATATGTAATCTTTTTCAGCGTAGGATTCTTCACCAACTGACACGTTCATAGAAGTCCTGAAGGTTAGAAAGCACTTCATAGATATTTGATTTCCGTTCTTATAACTAGTGGTGAACACCTACGAAGCTGTCATCAGTCAATCGATACCGGAAGTTCCAGTATACTGACTATATGGCATCGGTGTTGGAATCTAGTGTCCTATTGAACAGTTACACTTATGTGAATACACCTGTGGTATAATACCATCCATGACACAACTATATACGCTGAACTTCATCAGCCCAAAATATCTACATACTTAAAAGCTGAACATGCACCATTGTTATAATTCTGTTTGCTATATGAGTGTCTTTGTTCCATTGTAATTTCATGCTCTTTGGTATTACATTTTTTTTCTTCATAAGATCAATGGTATCGATGTCTACGACTCTCCGCATACACAAGTTGTCGATTTGATTTCATCAACACGTGATATGCTGACATTGAAAATTGTTAACTTTATCGATACAAACGACGTCACATCGAGTAAGTTCTTATTATCAAGTATTGATTTTTGTAGGGATGTTGTTTGGTTGATTGATTGATTGGTTGGTTGGAGGATTTCATCATGATATGTAGCAGATAAGATTTGTATGTAGCTCAGATGGATGATTTTGATGTGTGTGTGCTCTCTGAGCAGTTGGATGGTTAGTTTGCGAAGCTTTCACCACCCTACTGCATGACATCAGTTAGAGAAACACTGAAAAATCTGGGAGTACTAGACAGCCATCTGTTTCGTCAGCCTCGTTTGGGACTTTTCAGAAACCCACATTCACCACAGGGGGTTCAAACCCAGGGCCTTCTGGTTACAAGGTTAGCGAGCTCGTAGACCATTGAGCTACTGGGACCGCATCCAATGGCCAGTCCATGAATTCTAACTTTTGCTAATTCATGAAATAGCGCGGCCACTTCGCCTCACCTTCGACCTGCTGTACCCTACTGGTCACAACTTGCCTGAATAGGGCCAGTCGCTAGTGAGCATCAGATTAATTTTCAGGTATTGGTATTTGTAGAAATTTTTTGTTTGACTGGTGGATACAGTTCGACAACGGAACCTCTGATGAATTCTGGACATTCAGCTTCATTCGAAAAGTCCCTCAAGGCCTTATTCAAGATCCAGTTAAACCAATCCAAAGCGAATGAAGTCGATACATCTAGTGACAGCTGGAATACTGTCAATCCAAAGACCCACTCCTACTCTATGTGTCTAGTAGTAATACCTCCAACTGTTGTCACTACCGTTGCGATCATGAAACGTCACTCCTACCAATAATATTTATTTTTTATTTTTCTATTTTATATGTCCCAGCCTCCTACTATTTGTTATAATGCTTCCTTATTTTGTGATAATACAAGTTGACGAGATTTCCAGTAATTATAATCTTAATTATGTCTTGTCTATATGATGATTACACGTTGCAATTTAATTTGACCCTTATTTGATGAGGTTGTGTTCTCTGAGCTAGCTGGATGGTTAGTTTGCGAAGCTTTCATCACCTTACTGGGTGACATCTTCAGCGCATACTTCAAACCACGGACATCAATTCGACTGGGACAACCAGCGTTCAAATATTAGACAGAGGAAACAACAAGAATGCTGGCAGAGAATTTTTAGAAGCTTGGTCGGCATTCCAGTTAATCATTAATCAATAGACACATTGAGATAGACAAAATTTATCAACCGATAAGAAAGAAACTTCACACGCGCACAAAGAGTCAAAGTTCAAGTCAAAGAAACAATCAGTTCCAATACAAGTGGCATAGAAGGTGTGAAAACACACAATAACAACACATCACGTCCAAAGTCACCAGGAGAGATGACTGGCGGCGAACTCGTGGAGAAATCTAAAAGCTCACTCCATTGAGTTGAAGTATCCGCCCAGTATGGTGATGAAAGTTTCGCAAACCAACCATCCAGCTAGCTCAGAGAACACAACCTCATCAAGATTTTATCATGAGACTACACCAAATTACAGAACCATTTGAAAACCTGGGAGTACTGGACACCTGTTTCATCCTAGTTTCATCCTAAGACTCTTCCCAGTGCGCAGTTCAGCAGATTGAACCGGTTAATTGTAGTGGAGGTAAGTTATTGACTGTGGCGTACATTGTTCGACTTTTTAATCAACAGGTGGTGGAACTGGGTTGGACTGATTGGACTAGGTGAATCATTTTCAACCAGTGGATCAAACGTTGGAATCGCTCTCCACCTACTAAGACTTAGGCAGTCAGGTGTGGTTTATTGAAACGAACCGCATGGAATTGTGCCTGTTAGTTGAGTAACTTTCGTTTTCCCTCAAGGCTGAAGTGACAGCTTGCTGCTAGCCATATTGGTAGACAGTAATTTACGTCAATGTTTACGTCCTCAAAATGAGAACAAAGAATGATCCAACAACCAACCACAGCGGACTTTACTTAGGCGGAGACAGTTAGCATCTAGATGATCTGTTGTCTGGCCCTTGTCTTCTGTTGTTATTACAGGGCAACTTCATTTCACTCGGATTGATTACTACTGTTTGTCGTGTATTGGAAATGTCAGTCAGAAAGAGGAGCACTACTTTTGTGAGATGAAACAATTGCGTTAAGATAATCTTAATGCAAAAAGACAAGTAGTTCAGAGAAGAGTCTCTTTTCGATGAATTCATTCTCCTCTCTAGCTGAACAATAGCATATATACTGGTCAATGCATAAAAGAAGTTGTAGCTTGAAAATCCCCATTTAGTTATATGAAAAAGAGAAGACGTTCAGCGAAGAGACAGCGAAGTCACAGCTGAACTACGACTAACTTTCTCCACAAAACCTATGATTCATGTGAACGTGAAGGATAAGCTAGCTACCACTGCTGGCCCATCAATGTGTATTTATCAATTCACCTGTTCGTGTGGAGCAGCCAGGTATGTCGGCCGTATCCAGCGTTCGCTTTCCAGACGTATCACCGAACACTTACCAACATGGTTTTACAAAGGAGAAAAACGATGACCCCGCAGCTCCATCTTAAAACATCTGATAGAATCCGGACACCAAGCTACACCCCAAACACTCTTCAAAGTCGTCTACAGAGTAAGAAGTAGTCTTCCTAAAGGTGTACGAATCAGACTTCTTCAAACTACAGAAGCAATAGCGATTCACTTGCTAAACCCTGAACTCTGCATACAGAAGAAATTCGTTCAATCACTACACTTGCAATGGACTTAATCCATCTTATTACCCTACAAGTAAATTCTACCTAATCTCTCTGTTTTTGTCTAAGTCTTCATTAGTATTATTTTGTCTTCTCAATTGTAATATTTTGCATTTTCAACTTTCTTGTTCTCATCCCCCACCCATTTAATTTCTTCACCTGACTACCACTGTTATTGGCTTGACCAACGCTCAATTTCTAGTCATTTACGTTACGTCATCCAACTTAATTTCTTAATTTCAGTTCTAATTTAAATGGCATTATTATCTACCCCACTTCTACTTAGTCTCTACCTGTTATTACATCTGTTCCTACCCTGACCTAAGTTGAAACATTTTAGTCAATTATATTACGTCATCTAACTTACTAACTCAATCTTACTTTATTTGCTGTCCAATTAACCTTGTTTCTATATTAGATCATTCTTGTATTCCCTGATCAATTATCTAAACTTGACAAACCTCATGTACACACACAGACACACACAAATAATTATGTATAAATGTGATTGTACAGCTATGTGAATGAATTTGCCGAAAGAGTCTCTTCGCTAAACGTCTTCTCTTTTTATATAAAAGAAGTTGAACAAATGCACTATAATTACGTAATATGATAAATAATTGGATGACAAATGAGTTGTATGCAGGATGCCTCATAGAAACGAAGGAAAATATAGAATTATGCAAGAGTTCTAAAGTCAGGTCAGTAGAAATCAACAAAGTTGTTACCATGAAGCGTGAGCTGGTTGAATAACTTTCTTTTGGATCAACAACTCCGGTTCCTCTAACTGAATGCCTAAAGCTTCAGCCATGCAAAGAAGACAAATTCGCGTTGCTTTTTTCACGTCGGTCTTTACCTTATAAACTGCCTAGAAAGTGGCGTTTTTTAGATGGAATGACCAGTGTTGACGAGTATTCGATTATCATATTCCTTAAAGAACCACTACTACCCTTCTGTAGCCATGCAGGGTCATTTTAGGGAGGATACGCATCGAATCATCAACATACCTGACTTCACAGAAACAGATGAATTGATATATTCACATAGAAGTGGTTAGATATGAGATCTTGGCCTTAGAGCTTCTTCAGACCAGTGTATAATTGGACAGCACTACTCATAGAGTTGCTGAGAAGAATGTTCTCCTAAAAAAAAATACTAAAATTCCTCTCCTAAGGATATCACAGTTTAAGTCTTTCTTGAAATCCAAGTAGGTTGATGAAATGTTCACATTGGAACAGGTTATGTTTCATCTCTGTGGAATTTATGGTTTGAGATGCTTGTCAATGAATTATATGAGTGTGATTGTACAGCTAGACAGGAAAAGGAACTCGCCCAAAAAGAGACTCTCCACTGAACTACGTGTTTTATTTTCTGTAATGTCTAGATTCGGATTATTCATTAATTAGAATAAGCTAAATTGAAAGGATTTTGGAGTTGATCAGAGAACTATTTAGTTCCAATGAATACACTAAGTACATTCAGTGTTTACCTTTGGGTTTGGAGTAAGAAGTTAGAAGTCAGTCGGCAGGAGACCTTCGAACTCAGTACGGTATATTATGTTAGGAGACAATTTACTTCACAATTACTCCCTTCTATGCAGTGTAGATTATATTCGTGAAGGAAGTGTTGGAAAGTAAATCAATGCATCTTTCAAGTACTGAAAGTTGACTGATATCTGTTTTGATGTCATCTCACTCGCATTAACTGAAATACTGCTTCTGTTGAAGTGATTTTTAGAGTGTATTCCGCTGGCTGTGGATCTTTGTATTGCATGTCCAGATATTAATAAGAAGACAATTGCAGCGAAGAAAATTTTCTTTTCGACGAAGTCACCGTCAACTAGGCTGTACATTCGTGTATTTATATCAAATGGATGGGAAAGTTCCAGAATAATATCCGGTCAAGGGTCAAATTAATAAAAATTACAATTAGGAATTAGAATGCCATAATAAACAGGGGGATGGATAAAACAGACAAAGTAGCATCATAATAACTAAGAAGATTGACATTGTGCAATTGGGGGTTAGAAATGTTGAAATAACAAAATAGACAGGATGTTTGGATAAAAAACTAATGTGATGAATAGTTGTTTATGCAATCAGGGATTAAATGTGTAGAAATAGTAAAATGACAAAATAAACACTAATTCGGATATGAAAATATGGTAGTGTAAACAGGGATTAAGAAAAACTTAAAATAACATGAATAAACAGGAAGTTTAGATGAGAAAGGCGATGGGATGTTCATTACTAAAAGAATTACCTGTTTATGATGGCCATGGCAGGGACAGGGGTTGGACGTATTTCTTTTGGATACATAGCGTGGGTTTGAGCTTTTGTATAGCTAGTGCCTCGGCTATCCCAGATGTCTTGATTTCACTCCCTTTGATAGGTTTGATTGAATCTTGTAAATTACTTTGAAGGATTTTTCAAAAGGCGCTGAATGTCCTGAATTAACCAGATGTTCTGTCATCGAACTATATACCCGTTTTCGTTCTCCTTTTACTAGTCAGGCTGGATAGTGTTCACAAGCGCGTTTTTCAAGTTGGTGCATGGTACGACCAACGTACTCAGCTCCACAAGAGCAAGTAAACTGGTATATGAACGTTGAGGTGGCCCAATGCGTCGGCTTGTCTTTCGCGTACATTTCTAACCCCTAATTGCACAATGTCAATCTTCTTAGTTATTATGATGCTAATTTGTCTGAGTTTTATCCATCCCCCTGTTTATTATGGCATTCTAATTCCTAATTGTAATTTTTATTAATTTGACCCTTGACCGGATATTATTCTGGAACTTTCCCATCCATTTGATATAAATACACGAATGTACAGCCTAGTTGACGGTGACTTCGTCGAAAAGAAAAGCTTTCCTTCGCTGCAATTGTCTTCTTAATAACTCTTATGACCGAATGTCCGGATATATAATTTTCTAAACCCTCCCTTCGCAGGAGGGGGGGAGAAGCAACATAGCTGTCATGCTGGTCATCTAAGGAAAACACCTAAGCACTGTCATGTGCCAATCAAACAGCAGTACGATTTCGTTCATAGGGGCTGAAACACAGTGTGAACGGTATTCAAGTATTGGTTTTGTAGGGATTTGATTCATTGCTTATAGGATTTCATCATGGGCTGACATTGGTGACAGAACCATTGTAAAACCAACCAAGGAGTACTGGAGGGCTGTTTCGACGTAGTTTGGGAGTCTTCAACAGTACACACCCGTCGTGGTTCAAACCCATGACCTTCTGGTTACAAGGCTGGCTAGCGAGGTCGTAGACTATTAAGCCACTGGGACCTGATCCGAGTCGTGACAATTAGGGTGCAGCAGGTCGTGTGTGAGGAGAAATACTTGCCATGGATGACATTGGATAGCGATTGCGCTATGTCGTGAATTGGCAGAAGTTAGAATTCATGGGTTGGCCATTGAATCCGGTCTCAGTGGCTTAATGGTTTACGAGCTCGCCTTATAACCAGAAAGTCCTGAGTTCAAACACTGGCAGTGGCTGCGTACTGATGAAGAGTCCCTAACTAGGACGAAGCAACTGTCCAGTACTCCCGGTTGCTGGTTTTCCAATGGTTATCTAACCAATGTCAGCTCATAATGAAATCCTGTAACCAATCAACCAAATCCCTACAAACCAATACTTGAATATGTGTAGTTACTTAAGCTTTGTTCAACTTCGCTGTGAAGGCTTTGGCATTGTTTATTAAACACATTCTGTTCAAGACTTAAACTCAACGTCATCATTTATCCCAAAAAAATAAGCTATTATTAAGGTGACTGGACTGGAAATTAGTAGCTCTCATTTTTCCTCAAATTCTGTTAGTCAAATGTGTTACCTGAACTCTGGTCACTTCTAAGGTCAATGAGTTCAAGTGATTTTATAGTCATACTATGTGAAGCATTAACAGATTCTCTTGGTGGTAATGTTTTTTCCTCAAGAACTGACAGCTATCAGCTTGATGAGGCAAGGGTGTCAAGCTTCTAAAGACCGTGTTGAATAAGACAACTGTTTCATTGCATTTAGAGACTATTCATCAGCGAGCATCCACAAAGCCACCAAGAGTCAGACACAAGCTCTTTAGGATCTAATGAAACCATGTTCGTAAATGGTAGCCAGTGAGAAATCGTGGCCAGTAGAAACTACAATGTTATGATGTAAGACTGAATGACCATCGATGACACTATTTGGCCGTAGCGACATATATTTGCCGTTGCTCTAGGAACTTGATTTTTTCGGGCTCATTCAAGAACATTTCCCACTATGGCTAAGTAAAGGTGTAATTAAATCCATTAACAGTTCAATATTGGACCATCTGATGCAAACCGGCCGGCCACAAAGCCAGCCAACGTGGAAGAATCCTTCTCTATCACATCTACCGGGTGCCTAATAAACTGCCAAAAGCATCATCGAAGCACCGCATGTTCCAAACAGTGGAGGCTTTTGCAACTCACCTCAAACAACCAGTGCTCTGTGTTCAAAAGAAACAAGTCCAGCCAGGCCTTCAGTAGAGAATATAAATTCATGAATTTGTAATACTATCTTTCCTAATATTTTTCTGACATTCAGCTTATTTTATGTTGACGATATTGAGCTATCAATATTATTGAATCAATGTTATTTAAACAGCATTAATGTTGTTCTGAGCTGGGTAGTTAATTTTCGAAGCTTTCATCTCCCGTCCTACTAGGCGACATCTTCAGCGCATACTCCAATTTGAAGTGTCCAAAGTCACGTTCAAGGTCACCCACCAGGAGAGATGATTAATAAACTCGTGGAGAAATCTAAAAGCTCACTTCAATCCAAATTGAAGTATGCACTGAAGATGTTGCCTGGTAAGACGGGCGATGAAGCCTTCTCAAATGAAGTATCCAGCTGCTCAGAGAAGACAATCACATCAAAATCATCCACCTGAGCTACAAATCTTCTCTATCATACCTAAGAGTACTCTTTTCGCCCAGTATCTATTTTTTTGAAAAAAATTTCAATGGGCATTTTTAATCAGTTAAAATTATATAAGTCAAAATTCAAGTAGTCAGTGAATTTCGTCTCAAGTCACTGAATGGTTACCGGGATTGATACTGTATCCTATACCTCTTGTGTTCGATCTCACCGATTAGGAGCATCTGGTGCAGACTGCTGAAAAATCCAAGGCTAGGTGGAAACAGCCGGCCCCCTCCATGTATAAATTGGTTTTCAGTGATTTTTTAACTTATGCGGTTTCGCTAAAAAAAATCAAATTTTAAAACTTGTTTAATTGATACCGATTAATTTTGCTAGAAATGTACAGAATGTCTAATGACTATATCGTTTTTGTTTGTTTTTATCAATCAAGGTAATACAAATGGCAGTAGCCATAGCAATGGCGATGGTAACAACATACACAACAATAGCATTAGCAGTAGTAACAGTAGTGGAACTCCTCCTGTGATGAATTCTAATAGCAGCAGTGGCAGTGGCAGTGGCAGCAAACACAGTCGGACAAGTTTTATCCGCGCTGACCTTAGACGTCGAAATACGCATCGATCGCTTAGTTTTCACACAGCTGCATATAGTCGACGAGCGACTATCAGTGACTGTAGTAATAATGGTAATAGTAATAGTAATGAGGAACCAATTATCAATACTAACATTGTCACCAATACTACTAACAACAACACCGTTATCAGTAGTATCAGTGTCATCAAAAGTACAAATGATGACCATAGGAATGAGAAATTAATGGCAACTAAATCAGAAAAACAACTTTATCGTCCATATAATCATACTACTATCAATAATAATAATAATACCAGTAACGCTCCGCATAGTCGGTTAATTCGAGCCATGAACACAGGGATCAGTAATAATAATAACAATAATAATACTTCCACCAAGAAGTTCACATCATCTCTACTAATTATCAAGGATGAAGGTGAACCAATTCATCAAGATGGTAACAAAACAACACCAGATTCACCACCAGCATCGTCTTCTTCACCATACAGACGAAGGCTTATCAGTACTTCTGATATTACTGACAATAATACTAATAATAATATTAATAGTAATAATGGTCATGACAGTAGATCTGGCGGTAATGACAAACTACAACGAGCTTTATCTGAAACACGAAGTATTCTAGTATCAAGATTATATCGTCAACAGGAAGAAGCCAACGATAGGCAAGCTGAGAAGGACAACACCGTGGGAGAAGATAAAAAGTCATGTCAAAAGCCAGAAACACAACAATCAACCACAATCATTTTGTATAGTCAAAGTATTAAAAGAGATGAAGAACACGAGGTCAGTTCATCACTGTCAACATCATTCACTTCATCATCAGTGTCATCAGGATCATCAATAGTGTCTGGTCTACCTCCATTGTATTCATCATCAATAGGCGGAGGACGTCAACAGTTGGAAAGTAAGACAAAACATGCTGAAAATACGCATACTACCACGAGTACTACTATTTATGATTTCAGTAATATGGCTATTAATAATAAAAATAATAAGAATGATCATCAAACGAATGGAAATAATGGTCGAGCAGATTTTCATTATGAACATCGTGGAGAGTATCATAGTCAACCGACAACTGAGAAATGTGATTCGTCATGGGATTCATCAGAATCCGATGATATAGGGAATATTTCAGAGATAACTGAAATATCTGAGAATTCCTTGAAGCCCAATAATAAATACACAATAAATATTAATAATAATAATAATAATAATAATGGGCATAATGTTGAAGAAAATACTCAAAGATGTATAGATAGACAAGCCACAGTTGGACAAGTTGACAAGGCAAGAATGCCTAAGCCACCGCTACCTCCTCTATCACTTACAAACAATAAACTGACTGGAAAGAAGCCAATGGAAGGGATCGAGAAGTCAACGGGAAAACGGTGTCGACAACTGCTGATGATTATGTGCACCATATTATTGTGAAAAGTAACATAAAGAATGATATCTGTAATGGAAATAATGACAATGAAAGTAATAGTAATAATAACAATAATAATGATAATAGCCAAGTAAGTTACTGTGATTACACTAGTACTATTATAATAAAGGTTTTCTTGTATTTCCCGATGAATGAGTGAAAACCAAAACGATACTGTCGTTGTTTTTACTGACATTTCGCTATTTAATGCTAATAGTTTTATGAAAGTATTATTATTTCCTTTAATTCCTAGAGGAACATAGGGCTTCAGCCGCGCGTTTCCACTAAGCTCGGTTCTCTGCTAGAGTTTTCACCAGGCTTCAAGTCTGCCTACATGCTTTCATCTCCTCTTCACATGACCTCCTCCAAGTCACCCACCGTGAGACGACCAACTCACCGCTTCCCACTCTGTCGGGTTCCATTCGAGCAATGGCTTGTCTAGTGATGTCACTTGATGGTTTGTTTCCTCAGAGTATGATCACCCAATCCATCTCCATTTCTTCCTGCCTATTTGTTGCACAATCGGTTCCTGGTTAGTTTCCTCCTAGAGATCCCTGCTGCTGATCTTTTCTGACCGACCATCTGATCTTGAGTATTGAGGGAAGATAGCTGTTGATGAAGGTCTGTAGTTTGTTCGAAAAGCCCTTCGTGACAAGGTGCGGTGCCAAGTCTCTGAACCGTGTAGTGACTAGCACTGACTTCACACTGGAGTTGAAAATCCGAATTTTATTTATGATGCTGAGTGCTGTTGACCTCCACACAAACTTAGGACTAATGAAAGCTTGTCTTGATTTCCCGATCCTTGAGTTGATATCCTCATCAGTTCTGCCTGTAGTTGAAACGATGCTTCCCAGTAAGGTATAGCAGGTCCTTTCTTTCAGGTTCCTCCCATTTACGCTGGCTGATTGTTGTCTGTAGTTGTTGCTGTTGGTGTTGGTGTTGCCCAGGAATCTTCATCACCTCTGTTTTTATCTGTGTTCACCTGAAGTCCTAAATTTGTTGCTATCAAAGTATTATTAAACCATAACTTACAAAATCCACTCAGGATATACATGATAGAGAGTTAAGGGGTGAGAAAATAGACACTTCATGGGGTAGGCGGGTTGTGTGTGTTGTAACCGGGTCAGATTCTGTTTTAGTCCATCATCCTTTTCAGTTCAGACAATTTGGGTTCCACTTGATATGAAGTGCTTCTGATATTAAACTTTCTTTGTGATTTCTGAAAAGTTTTTCTAGATGACGATTTCAATATTGTCAAAATCAATTTTGTGGCCTGATTCTGTAGCGTAGCGTGTAGACGACCTATGGTTGATCAATTCTCAAGTTTTTCTAGTTCAACTGCATTTCTCGGTGGTCGAGCAGATGCTTCACGATGTTCATTTTTTCTGATTTTGAATTCTCTCTGGCGATGTTTGTCTGATGTAGATCGCATCACATTCAAAGCAAGGATTTTATTTTATAGACACAATTAGACAGAGAATCTTTAGGGATTCGGTCTTTTGTATGGACAAGGATGCTTCACGGTGTGTGTTGTGTCTGATGTTTTGAAGAAAACGCTGATGTCGAGCTGATTGAGTACGCCTCTTCTGATATAGTATGGAGTCTCTGCTCTATATGGAATGACGACTAATGGTGTCTATATTTTCGGAATGCGTTTTCAACCATACTTAATGTTTGGGCTAATGTTTATTAATGATAATAATCATTTGCTTTATTCCAAAACAGTACTTGTGATACACAATGGAACTGTCAGCATTTCACTACATACAGTATTGCATCCAGTTAGTACATTATCATCAATAAATAAAATTCTACATAGATTAAGGCTAATCTCAGTTCATTATGACAACAACTTACTGGCATGTTGGTAGTAAAGCCAAAAATTAAACAGGGTTTGAAGGTGTTAGAAAAGTAGATCCTTGCTTATTTACTGGCGTAAGCGGTAACAGAAAGGTCGAGATATACAGAGTGTGAAAGAACGAAGGAAAGAAAGAAGACGTTGTACCTGTATATGAGAAGAGTTCGAAAGACGAGATCCAATTGTTCTACTGCCTATTTAATAAGTTATAGGTATCACGCCTTATGCCTTCTTTATCGCACAGAACACGAACGAGCCAAGTAGGGTTTGGTTGAGTTTTTGTACTTGCTAGTGCGAGCATATAGTTTTCTATATAGGCTTCTGGTTTGGTCTGGCCTGATGAGATACAAGGGGAGAATTGTAAATGAAGAGGGTGGTGTGAGTTAGATAGATAGAATGGATTTGGCCCATTTTTCACATGAGTCCAAGTGCCTGTTGACCAGAATGTTAACAAGCTGGTTAAGTGGCACGTTGCTTACCCTGCTGTTAGCCTTTAAAATCGTTGAACATAGTTGAACAAAGTCGATAATATGCTTATCCATATTAGGCCAGTATGCGTAGCTGCGAGCAATACTCTTCATCCGCTGAATACCAGAATGTCCCATGTGAAACTATTTCAGGAGTTTATTTCGTAATGCTTCAGGTATCACTACGCGTTCTCCAACCATCAAGCAATCTTTTACAACACATAAGGAATCACGAAGGGCAAACAGGTGTTTTAGGTCTCCACTATATTTAATCTTTGGCCAATTACTGGATACATACTGTGTAGCACGTCGTAAGGTGGCATCGGTGCTTGTAGTTCGCTGGATTTCTGCAAACGTTACTGGTAGAGATCAAACAGCATTGTCGATGAGGTTAACTGCGTTGCATACAGAACTAAGTGGGACATCAGCCAGATGTAAACGACCGAACCAATCAAGTCCCAAAAGATTTAAATCACTCTTGGCAACGTAACAAATTCCTGTGAATTTGATAATGCGGAACATTTGAGTTCACCAATTAGTTTGAGCCGCCCACCACAGGCGCTGACAGCAGTCTGAGAAGTATTTGCGATTGGTGGTCTGCCAATATTATTTCAAAGTTTCTCTGATATAACAGTAATATCAGAGGCGGTATCTAGCTGCAGACGTGCATCATGACCATTCATCTGAAGGTCAAGATATTTCCGCATACATGGAGTTATGACTTGACAGGTTGCGAGTAGACTCAATGATCTCCTTGGGGATTTAGGACCAACAGTTTGTCGAGCTTTCGCTGGGTTATGATATCTGGGTTTGCGTGGCTGACAAAAACCATTTTTATGACCGATGATTTTGCACTTGCTGCAACGATGATTTTTGTATGGGCAAGACTTTACAAAGTGCCACGCGCCACAATGCCAGCATGGTGATGGTGGGGTCTTCTTTGCAGTATTTTGTGAAGTTGGACGAGTATGTGTAGATTTACGCGGAACATTAGAAGAAGGTGGGTCAGGAGTGGATGATGAGAGATTTTTGCTCTTTCGTAATGCATGAATATCAGAGCTTCTCGAAGGTGTTGATTCGACCAGGTGTGTGTCTTTCTGCAAATTAATCAGCCGTTGATATTCATCAGCTATGTCATGTAATGTTAACTTAGGATTTTGTTCTAGCTGATTGAGCAGTCGAGTTCGGATATCTGTGAAACGAGGAGATTGAAGACTGCATATGAGAATCAGGGCTTTGAATTGATCATCTGTTAAGGACCTGAGTCGAAATCTCTCACATTCTCGGTTGACTGTGCCAACGTGAGTAAGAAAATCATCATTTTCATTCATTGTCAGCTTGAGGCAACGATAGCGTATGCTGAATAATGAGGAGTGGTCTCCAAAATGTTCACGCAGCAGCTTTATTGTATCATCGAAACACTTGTCACGTGGTTTCTGGGGTAAAATTAGGTTGCAGTACCGTTCATATTCTGCCGGACCCAATTTACGTAGCAACACTCGCACCTTCCAGGCATCGTCTTGTGAGGCGAGATCAACAGTGAATAAATCCTCATATCGTTGATACCATGTGTCAAAAGTGACATTCGCATCTGGATTATAATTGAACTGTGAAATACTATTCACAATGCCGTCGACAGATGGTAGCATGGTATGATTGGGATTGCTTGAAGGTGAAGCTGGACCAGTCTGTTGGTTGACGAACATTTCCATTAATTTCATTTGTCGTTCAAATAGTAATTCCAATTTAGAAGGATCCATAGTTTTCCCGTCGCCAAATTATTATGTACTCGTCGCCAAATTATTGTTATGTACTGGTCGAGAATTTATTAGTCCTGACGCAAGAAGACGGAAATCAGAAGACCCCTAGGTTTGCGATGATACTTCTATTTTCCAAACACAAGGAGAATCAATGTCACACAAGTGTGTGAGAGCAAAAATATATATGAATGTCCGAACAAGTGCGTGAACACAAGTGTGTGAGCGAATATTCAAAATGAACAAATCAATAGACAGTCTTAACATGATTGGCTAATTATAATGGAATATCGATCCATATATACATAGCAAAATATATCAGACTGTCAAACAAACACACATATTATATGTATATATATATCAGTTTTAACTTCTTGTTGTAGAAGGTAGGACGGAATATTTTCTTAGAAATCGTCAAGATATGAGACGACCAGGAAAGATCAGCAGAGAGAATGACGCCCTATATACCACGAATTCACAGAGAAGTTGCAACTCATGGGCCAAAATATTCCGTCTCATCTATTGAATCGTTCATGGACAAACTTTTCACATGTAGGTTTTGTGTTTAATCCTTGATTAGCGGGACCATGGGTGCATACTGTTGAAAATTCCTCGACAATAAAGAGAAGGTAGCTGTCCAGTACTTCTTGGTGGTTTTTAATGGTCGTTCAGTTGAAGTCGTTTCATGATGAAGTTTTTGAAGGTGGAGTTAATATCGGATACAATAAAAATGGTCGGTGTTCCAAACTGTAAATTCTCGATAATTATTACCAATATGATGTAGGTTATTAGCAATATGAAATAGAGCAGAACGTCAGTAAAAACAAGATTGTCGTTTTTGTCTCTCATTCAGTGGAGAGTTGATATGTATCCATATATATATGTGTGTGTGTATGGCGGTCTCTCTTTCTGTTTGCTCGCTTAGTCTGTGACCATTTCACTTTGATGAACCTGTCTCCTTTAACAATGTATATTCCCCTTATATTATATATAATATAATATGAGTGTTTGTTGACAGTCCGTTGCTTGGTGACATATATCCATATATGGTGGTTGTTGACATGTCTGCTATATTTTGCTATGTATATATGGATCGATACTCATTATAATTAGCCAATCATGCTAAGACTGTCTATTGATTTTTCACACACTTGTCTGGACGGTCATATATATTTCGCTCTCACAATCTTGTGTGACACTTTGGTGTGATACCACTTATTGCTTCTCCTGGTGTTTTGGAAAATAGAAGTATCATCGCAACCCTAGTGGTCTTCTGATTTCCGTCTTTCTTGCGTCAGGACTATTAATTTCTCGACCAGTACATAATAATAATATGGCGACGAGTACATAACAAGAGTACAAATGTCTAACATGAATTAAAAATGGTTTCTTTGTGATTACATTGTATTCCTGAGTATTATATTAGACAGACAAGTCTAATATTGAGTTGTAGTCTACTCGTGCTTCAAGCCGTTAACATTGGTGAAGACTCGACTCTTTCAGCTAAGTTTTCCCTGGAGTGACCAATATGCTAGATGGGTCATCATCTTCGAAGGTAGGTGGTTGAAGGCAATCGATGGGAGACCCTGGACCTCGTTTTTGGTGCTTGTCACCACTCATCAGCTAGGTGTATCTGAAACCTCGAGGATGCGTCACCAGTAGATGTAGTCAGAGAGGCTACCACTGAACCATTTATGCCCAGATTGTTCCATAATGCTGGAATTCTTCATATCTTTCTGTTCTGTTGTTCTATACTAACAGTGTAACAACAGAAGACAAGAGCCAGCCAACAGATCGTTTATTCAGAAAATCAAAAGAAATGTATGGATGTTTGTGTACATTATTATTAGCGTTATTGTTAACAGAGAAGCGACGCGTTCTGATTGGTTGCTTTCCTTTATGTGCTAACTGTGTCTGTTTCTCAGAAAATTAAGCCATTTATCTGCCAATCGTATTTGCACACGGTAGTTCTGCTGTGATTGGTCGATGAGTTCCTCAAGGTTAAGCTTTGTTATTGTCTTTTTTCTCATGACCCCGATTCGAGACGTAACACTGACGAGAATTGTTGTCTACAATTTTTGTCTTGCAGCCAGCTCTCACCATAGAGCCTTGACTACAAATTCTCCTCGAATCAGGTTCATTCAATACATGATATTTTTTTCAAAACTTTTGTCTTTTTTTCAGTCTAACGACAGTATGTCGTCTGAAGAACAAACAATTCAAATTGATCAGTCTAAAATGAATGGTCATAATAATAATAATCACAATAATAATAATGGTAAGTATAAACATACTACTAATTGACTGATATCAATAGTTTTAAGCCATTCATCTGAAATTTTAGTTGTTTTTATTAGCCCAGTTGGTGTTTAGATCACTTTGGCCACTGACTAGCAAGCACTACTGGCTGACGTAAGTATTTTTCTACTACTCATATCGATCAATTAGTAGTATATAACACCATGCACACTATTTCGCTTGCTTTCTTCATTGCCATTTGAAGTAGAATATCAGGATTATTATATACTCTGTGATCTGAAGAAGAAATTTGTCTTTGATTGGTTGGAGGATTTCATCATGAACTGACATCAGTTAGAGAACCACTGGAAAACCAGCCACAGGGAGTAGTAGACAGCCAGCTGTTATGTCAGCGTAGTTTAGGATTCTTCAGCAATACGCACTCACTGAGGTTCGACTAGTGACTGGTCATTATTCAGGAAGTTAGTTACCTGGGGTTCTGGTGGGGGAGGGCGTGACCATTAGGGTGGAACAGGTTGAATGTGAAGACAGTTACTCATCGAAGAAGACATTGAGAAGTGATCCCACTATGTCATGCATTTGGCAGAAGCTGGAATTCATGGGCTGACTGGTCATTGATCGGATCTCAGTGAGTGGCTTAATGGTTTACGAGCTAGCTCGCCTTGTAAATGTAAGGTGCTTGGTTCGAGCCCCAGTGTTGTGGGTGCGTACTGCTGAAGTGTCTTAAATTATGCTGAAGAAAGAGCCGTCCAGTACTCCCTTTTGCTGGTTTTCTAATTCTTCTCTAACTGGTATCAGCTCATGATACAGTCCTCCAACCAATCAATCAAACGAAATCCCCAGAAAATCAATATTTAAAAATTTTGTTTTTCCAAAGGAAATTATGGATATTTCTTACCTCATAAAGTGTCACGACCAACTTGATTCTAAAAGGTATCTTAATCCGCAAAATAAGTATTTGTACTGACTGGGTCCGAGTTTTAACAGAGAACTTTGCTCAGAAGTACAGCAGGCAAAGTTGTCACACTCAGACTAGTACGCGATGTAGATGAACTAGAGAAAGAGAGGTTCCATGGAGCCATACTGAGCAGAAATGTACAGGACAAAGAATAGTCGCGTGGAAGGACACGAAGGTTCAACGGTTTTAGCAGATAAAAGAGTATGAAGATATATACGCGCCATTGAGAATGATTTGAGCCATATCATCAACAGTTTCAAGCCATGGATTCTTAGCCTCTAGAGGACGCTAATTGGGCAGTCTGCAGCCCTGAATGACTGTCAAAGACTGATTAGACTGATGCTACCCACCACTAACTTGTTTCCATCTCAATACTATGTCAGCTAAGGTTGCTCGACGAGTAAGTAAGGAAATACTTCAGCATGGGAAACACCTGTCCTAACTATCTCAATGGATTTAGTTTCACAGCCTCATCAATCGACTCACCATTGCTATCTAATCCTCTACGCCTAACCCCAATATTACTCATTATACTATTCTGCTTAACACAGAAGATAGAACGCCACCCTCAGAGCCTGTGACTTGAAGTCTGATCCACCGAGCAGTGAAACAATGTGAGAAATTATATTCCTGTGACCCAAACAGGTTCATACGCCACTCGTTTCCTTCGGATTCTAGAGCCAATGTTTTGAACCAAAGGTTTTGTAACACTTCCATATTAGTTTGTTTATTAGATGTATCACAAAGTGGAGAAACAGTATTATTTACTCGATGACGAGGTTTCGAACGAAATCTATTATTGTTCATAATCACAGGATCAATTGTAATCACACGACTTCGAAACTTGAGTTTTCTTTGTCCTCTCCTATTTGTCGTCGTCGTAGGGGTAGTAGAATTTTCCAGATATCTGGGTGGACAGGTGTTGAATCATTCCTATTACACGTATTCCAGTTGATTCGATAAACAAAGCTTCTGTTATCAATAACCCCTACGACGATAAATAGGAGAGGACTAAGAAAACTATAAAATTCAAGTTTCAAAGTCGTGTGATTACAATTGATCCTGTGATTATGAACAGTATGATAGAGAAGATTTGTAGCTCAGGTGATGAAAGCTTCGCAAACTAAACATCCAGCTCAGAGAACAAAACCACATCAAAATCATCCACCTGAGCTACAAATCTTCTCTATCATATCTAAATCTTACGAGCGGGATACGCTTCTCTCTGTTCGAAAGTGGGAAGACTTCGCCAAAAGGCAAGGATCCACCAGAGAACAATTATTCTTTCTCCATGAGTGCCTTCGTCATTCAATCCTACCAAACAGTGTAAGATACAAACCACCAGTCAACTGCCCAATGGGATGGAAATTGGCCGAACAATGTGGAAGACGAATGGTCAAATTAATGATTACAGACGCACATTATCGGATCAACAAATATCAACAAATTATAGATATCCAAAAAGCAAAATTAGAGAAAACCCTCAACCAGAACACCTGTCAACGCTGATCACCGCAATTACACTGTCAAGTGAAAAACACAGAGAACAAAGACGAAGAGTCCTCAAAACCAAGCTAGCCAAGATTAGAAAACAACAACCAGACAATACGCCCATAGACTGCGTAGTCAACCTATCAAAACAACCACTATCAAAAATGGAACAACAACTACTACAAAAAGGATTAAACTACAACACCGGAGATGCTTCAAAAACTGATTTCTTCGCTGCCTTTGAATCATTACTCAAATCATCAAACTTGAACGAGGAAACACAGGAAGAGATACGCCAAACAATTGTACCAATGGTCAAACAGAAAAGACAACACACACAACTCAACGCTCAAGAACTAAAGGCCCTCAAAAAGCTGAAAAATAGGAAGGACATCGTCATTTTACCAGCCGACAAAGGAAGAACAACAGTAGTCATGGACAGAGAAGAATATACCAAGAAAGCTGAAGAACTACTCAAAGATGAAGATGTATATCAACAACTCCCAACAAATCCCATACAAACATTGGATAACCGCATCCAAAGGACCTTAAACAAGCTCACCAAAACTGGACAGATCACAAAACAAGACCAATGGCGAATGAAATCCAATGGACCAGTCCTACCCGATTCTACGGCAGACCCAAAATACACAAGGCAAATATCCCATTACGACCAATTGTATCACTCCCAGGAACTCCAACATATAATTTATCCAAAGAATTATACAGAAAACTAAAACACCTAACGGAATCTTGCGATCACTCCATCAACTCTGCTATCCAATTCCTAGAGAAAATCAGAGGCATCCAAATAGATGAACAAGAAATAATGGTATCATTCGACGTGACAGCATTATATACATCCATCGGACAAAAACTAGCAAAAGAAACCATGGAGCAATTACTTAGCAACGACGAACAACTGCCACAACAATCAAAAATGCAACACACAAGCTGGATGGAATGCATAAATCTATGCCTAACAACATACTTCCAATTCAACGGCCAAATATATGAACAAGTCAAAGGAACACCCATGGGATCGCCAATATCAGGTTTGATTGCAGAAGCAGTGATGCAAAGACTCGAAAATATAATTCTACCAAAGATCAAACCCAAGATTTGGATACGCTACGTCGACGACACATTTGTAATCATCAAAAGAAACGAATTAGATAAAACTCACAACTTAATAAACAACGTCTTCAACGACATCAAATTCACAAGAGAAGAGGAATCCGAGAACAAAATACCATTTTTGGACGTCTTAGTCAGGCGAACAACTACAGGAGAATTAGAAACTCAAGTTTATAGGAAATCAACTCACACAGACCAAATACTGAATTACAACAGCAACAACCCAATAACACACAAAAGGAATTGCATACAAACACTATTCAAGAGAGCAAGGACTCACTGCAGCACTCCCACCTTAAGAAAAATTGAAGAAAAGTATCTCATGGACGTCTTCCAAAAGAATGGATATCCACGGAATTTCATCAAGAGACATATACCCCCAAGCCAACCTACCAAAGCAAAAGCCACCAAGGAAACACAAAGAAAATTGCCTTACCATATATAAAAGATATCTCAGAAATCACTACAAGACTCTTCAAACCTTTAGGAATTGACGTCGTACACAAACCAACAAAGTCGCTGCACTCAATTCTATGTCAACCAAAAGACTCAACAGCGAAAGAAGACAAAACCAACATCATCTACAAAATAAACTGTAACAACTGCGAAAAACACTACATCGGCCAAAGTGGACGTCCCCTTCGTCTTCGTATCCACGAACATAAGCTAGCCGTCAAAAGACATGATATACACTCCCTCATTTCACTACACACAGACAACTACGGACATCAATTCGACTGGGACAACGTTCAAATATTAGACAAAGGAAATAACAAGAATGCTAGAGAATTTTTAGAAGCTTGGCATTCCAGTGAATCATCAATCAATAGACACATCGAGATAGACAAAATTTATCAACCAATAAGAAAGAAACTTCATACACAAAGGGTCAAAGTTCAAGTCAAAGAAACAACCGGTTCCAATGCAAGTAACCTAGAAGGTGTGAAAACACACACAAACAACCAATCACGTCCAAGGTCACCAGGAGAGATGATTAATAAACTCGTGGAGAAATCTAAAAGCTCACTTCAAATTGAAGTATGCGCTGAAGATGTCACCCAGTAAGGTGATGAAAGCTTCGCAAACTAAACATCCAGCTCAGAGAACAAAACCACATCAAAATTATGAACAGTAATAGATTTCGTTCAAAACCTAGTCATCGAGTAAATAATACTGTTTCTTCACTGTGTTATATACATCTAATAAACAAACTAAAATGAAATTATTTACTACCACGGTGACCAAGTTTTCTAACACATCTAGATGCACTGTATATCCACCAGTCCAGCTGTAATCGTCAGACGTTCACACTCACCCTTTCACTTTTGCAAGGAACACTCCCACTGTAACGTAAAGACAGTGACAGACTATGAGTTCATGGCTACTAGACAGCATCTCAAGCAGGAAGTCTACACACTCTCAGCCATACTACGTCATTTAGGGAGTGAATTAATACGTTGATACAAAGGTACTGAATTGCAATGAGCAAGTCAACTGAATACAGAATATTGATGTTCAGCTTTCAATACGCCTTATGCTTCACTGATTCAAGGCAAAAATTTGTCTGAGACGGTGATAACAACTTCATTAGACACTCTATAACCATTAGTCCCTTAAGTTGCAAGTGAAACACAGGGCTTCAGGGACATATCTCCGTTTTACCTCCTTCTCCGTAGCCTTTTTCAGTTGATTCCATGATAACCCAAAAACCTTTCATATCTCTTTTCACATGATCTCCTCTATTTTCTCTTTTTAAATTGACGCTCAACTCATCGTTTCCCATTCAAGTTCCACTTGAGGGTCTGACCAGAGCGTGGTGTCATTTATTGGGTATTTTCAGTATACCAAGTCATCCTACTTGATCTATTTCAGCATATTTGTTGGGCGATATGTATAAAGTCACTTTGACTAAGTGTCAGCTCATGAAGAAATCCTCCAGACAATCAAAAAAAAAACCCTACAAAACTAACCAATACTTGAAAATTAATCTGATGCTCACTAGCGACTGGCACTATATTCGGGCAGTGACCTGGGGTTCTAGCGGGAAGTCATGATCAGCAGGATACAGTAGGTTGAATGTGAAGCAGTGACTCATTGAAGAAGACATTGCGAAATGGTTGCACTATGTCATGCATTGGCAGACGTCAGAATTAATGGACTGACTACTGGGTCGGATCCCAGTAGCTTAATGGTCTACGAGTTAGTTCGCCTTGTAGTCATAAGGTCATGGGCTCAAACCTCACTGCTGAATAGTCCCAAACTAGGACGGAGGAAACAGCTTTCCAGGAATCCCTGGTTGGTTCTCCAACGGTCCTCTAACTGATGTCATCTCATGATAAAATCCTCCATCTGATTTTATAAAGTCTAAAATTTCTTATTAAATCAAAGTTTATCTAGTAGAATGATGACATTGATGTAACAACAGAGAGCATAAACTTGAAAAATGAAATCACACTACCGCTTCAGCCAATGGCTTAAGACGTCAGCTCTAGTTTAAGCAGCAAGAGGGTGACCGTCTAGATCATATCAATACTAACTGTCAGAGTATTCAGAATGTACTATTGTAGTATTACTGCGGCCCTTTGCTCACTCACTCACTCACTCACTCATCATTACAAGTGATTATTATTGTATTATTGTTTCCTTTAAATTCCTAGAGGAGGAACATAGGGCTTCAGCCGCACATCTCCATTGCATTCGGTTCTTCGCCAACGTTTTCACTTGTCTCCATGTCTGACAACATGCTTTCATATCCTCATCACATCACGTCCTCCGTGTCACCATCGCAGTGACGACCAACTCGCCGCTTCCCATTCTGTTTGGTTTCACTCAAGCAATGACCTGACGTCTGATGTCGCTCACTTGATAGTTTATTTTCTCGGAGTATAGCCAATCAACCTCCATTTCTTCCTGCCTATTTGTTATACAATCGGTCCCTGTTTGGTTCATCGTTCCAAGAGAACCCTGTTGAGCGATGACAGCTGTTTATGGAGGTGTGTAGTTTTCCTGAAGTTCCCTTGGTGACATGGTGCCAAGTCTGTGATCCATAAAGTAGCACTGACTTCCCACTGGAGCTGAAAATCTGGATCTTATTTTTCATCCTGAGTTCTGAGTGTTGATCTCCACACAGACATAAGAGTAATGAAAGCTTGCTTTGCTTTCCCCATCCCCGCTGCTTTGACATCCCCCTCACTTCCATCGGCCTGTAGTTGAAACGATCTAACCCAGGTATATGGGGTTGTTTCTTTGAGATTCCTCCCATTTATGCTGGCTGATTGTTGTCTGCTGTTGTTGTTGCTGTTCCTGTTGACCAGGAATCTTCATCATCACCTCTCTTTTCTCTATGTTCACCTGAAGTCCTATCTATCTTTTATGCTTCTTCTGCCAACCTGTTGCTTTTAATCATTTGCAATATCTTCCAGTCTGTGGTAAATCAGACATACGTATCACACCGGCGAAATCCAGATCCTCCATGTATTTTGTGTGGGTGCATTTTATGCCTCTTTTCTCACTGCTCACTGTCTCTTGTATTATGTAGCCTACCACAATCAAGAAAATCATTGGAGATAGTAGGCAGTCTTTTCTTATTCCCGTCTTGACTTCGAAGGATTCCGTGAGTTTCCCGTTGTTGTACAACTGTTGGATGAGATGTATAATTTTTGGTGGCACCACATAGTAGCGAAGTAGTTGCCAAATCACCTCTTGATCGCGCTGCCTGCTGAAGGCCTTTTCGAAGTCAATGAAGTTGAGATAGAGAGATGACTGGCATTCCAAGCTCTGTCCAGTGATGATCCTTAGTGTTGCGATTTGATGGATGCATGACTCGCTCCTCCTGAATCCAACCTTCATTACAATTGAATATGTATAAAATCGATAAATTTTACTTTAATTGGGCACAAGGTTGCATATAATGTCATACGTTTAATCTCTCCTTCGGTACAGACTGAATTCTATTACCGTCCTACAAAAAAGGTTAAACGCAAGATTGAATAGCTTAGTGATAACGTCTGTCATAGCAGATAGAATTAGATGACGAGGGTTCGAATCTCTGAATTCATATTAATTTTCTTCAAGAGTGTAGATACATCTCGTTGTAACAAATGCCAACATTGCACGAAGCTTAAATATTTCACAGCTTCCTGCAGACTACACACGCAAACAAATCCAACCATCTAACACTGAAACAGTTTTATCTTTAGACTTGGGTAAATGTTTGTTTTGATAAAGTCTCACAGTGTTTGTTATACAGTAATGTTTACTGATGACCATGTTTCGAGCACAATTTATTACTCTGCTCATAATCATATCAAGGTACTCACACAACTTCCTAACTTCATTTATATAGTTCCATTGTTTTTCACTTGATTTTCACGTGATTTGATTGGTAGTAGTATTTTACATATTTCAGGTATGAGTGATGAATCATTCCTGTTGCATGTGTTGGGTGTAGATCCACTCGATGAACAAGGATTCAGTAATCAACCTCTCTCACTCTCCACCTACATAGATTACTTTTTAGAATTTTAACCCTCTCCCACCCTATTATGTGGTTGTGTGTCATTCCATGCATTGCAATTGCTGAGATTTTTTCTAAATTACTTATCTTTCCAGGGTCAACCATTCTTAGCTTAACTATATTCTTATGTTCCGACAATCTGATTACCCCGATCTACTAGTTTGACCTATGTAGTTGACCCAACTCACAGTCATTGCAAGGTACATTGTAAATTATATTATTTTGTCTAATTGGTTCAACTGGTTCCTTTAGCCTACACAGCTTGTCCCTGAGTGAGTGTGATGGCTTGAATGCCACCCTGATTCCTGCTTTATTTAGAATCCTACGTAGGGAGGGTTTCAGATGTCCCCTCTTTATATGGTATAACTGTAGATGACTTATATTCTCTCTTATTTATGTTATTTTTAATAGTTTCAGAATTATTTTTATTTTTCGTTTGGCCTTTTTGAATAACTATCCTTAAAAATTCTAAAGGAAGATCAAAAATGGCCAAACTAAAAATAAAAATAATATAAATAAGAGAGAATATAAGTCATCTACAGTTATACCATATAAAGAGGGGACATCTGAAACCCTCCCTACGTAGGATTCTAAATAAAGCAGGAATCAGGGTGGCATTCAAGCCATCACACTCACTCAGGGACAAGCTGTGTAGGCTAAAGGAACCAGTTGAACCAATTAGACAAAATAATATAATTTACAATGTACCTTGCAATGACTGTGAGTTGGGTCAACTACATAAGTCAAACTAGTAGGTCAGGGGTAGTCAGATTGTCAGAGCATAAGAATTTAGCTAAGGTAAGAATGGTTGACCCTGGAAAGATAAGTAATTTAGAAAAAAGCTCATCAGCAATAGCACTGTATGCATTAACACACACCACATAATAGGGTGATGGGAGAGGGTTATAATTCTAAAAATGAATCTAGATAGGTGGAGAGAGAGAGAGGTTGATTACTGAATCCTTGTTCATCGAGTGGATATACACCCAACACATGCAACAGGAATGATTCATCACTCATACCCAAAATATGGAAAATACTACTACCAATCAAATCAAGTGAAAAGTAACGGAACTATATAAATGAAGTTAGGAAGTCGTGTGAGTACCTTGATATGATTATGAGCAGAAGTAATAAATTGTGCTCGAAACATGGTGTTCAGTAAACATTACTGTATAACAAACACTGTGAGACTTTATCAAAACAATCATTTACCCATAATGGAATTACACCCTACCACAGTGCACAAGTTTTATTCTTATATCAATCCTTAGACTTGATTTAGACGAAATGAAATACTATTTAAACTTTGTATCTAAACTACTTTTCTTTACCTTTTTCTTAGATGACGATGAATTAGGTGTGTGCTTAATCTAAGTAGAGATGACAACATTTGGAAATATCCTACTGGCTTTAAAGGTGAGTGAGCATTGCTGGTTTTACTAGTTTTTCCCTCTTTCCTTTTATCCATTTTACTTGAGCACTGAAGTTGCCCAGCATCGGCGTTGAGGGTAGTGGTGGTGGGATTTGAAGGAGTGGGATTTCCAGCCTCACCCACGCCCCCCCCCTCCGCAAAAGCTCTTACAACTTACCTATTGAGATACAAGATGTTTCAGGTTAGACCATGGATTTATATCAGTTAGAGAAACATTGAAAATCACCAGGGAGTACTGGATAGCTGTTTCGTCAGCCTAGTTTGGGACTCATCAGCAGAACGCACCCACTCGGTATCGAACTCAGAAGCTTCCGGTTACACTGCAAGCTTCTATGACATTCAGCCCTGATGCTCTCTAGTCACTGGTTACAGGAGGAAGTTTCCTGGAGTTGTAGTGAGATGTCGCGACCAGAGAGGTCCATCCAGTCGGGATTGAGGATAGAGTTTCCGCCGATGACATTGGTTGGTGCCAATCGCGCTACAATCACAAACTGGTAGAAGTTAGAGTTCATGGATTGGCGATTAAATTTGGTCCAGATGGCTTAATGGTATACGATCTTGCCTTGTAAATGGAAGGTCCTGGTTTCGAACCATAGTGCAGTGGGTGGGTATTGTCGATTAGTTCCAAACTAGTGGGATGGAATAGCTATCCAGTACTCCAGTGCTGGTTTTCAATGGTTCTCTAACTTGAAACAAATAGGTTCCCTACAAATGAACTGTTGGAAAGTATAAGATGTTGTCCAGAAGGACAGTGAAAGCTTCGCAACTAATCCAACAATCTCAGAGAATGTAACTACATCAAAATACACGCTGGAGTCAAATTAATTAAGAATTTACCAGGTACACTGACCGAATGACTGACTGATTTTCATCAGCAAGGTACTTTGCACCGATTTGCAACAGTTCGAGTCACTACACTGCATGTAGCACACAAAGCAAGAGAGAAAAGTAAAAAGAAAATCAAATTAATGACAGTAAACAGACCTATGAGGCCAAAAGAATGGTGATATAGAAGAACCATATAGTTATAAGTCACAAGGAGTGAATGCATATTTGCAATTGAGAACGATTTTGAACCAAATCACAAATTGTTTCTAGACATTGGTTTTTACCTCACCGAGGACCCTAACCAGTCAGGAAGTCTACAATCTCCAATGTGACTTAAACTAACTGTCGTCGATTTCACTGACTAATGTAGCTATGTCTTGGTTTGACCAAGACTGACTAACTCTTTTCCAACCTGATCCACCATATGTTAGTTAACATTGCCCGTCACTTGAGGAATTCGATGGTTAGCCAGGCCTACGTAACACATGTCCTAACCATCTCAATCGATGTAACATCACAGCCTCATCCATCGATTTCCCTTCCTTAACTAACACTCGGCCTGTGCCTAACCTCAGTATTGCTCACGCTATTGTATCACTTCACACAAGGGATAGAACTAGGTACACGATTCAAGAGAGTGGAGTTTTAACCACAGTATCCTTTAAAAAACCAAATTATTCAGATCACATAACTGTTTTTGATGTAGTTGTGTTCTCTGAGATGGATAGTTCATTTGCGTCCCCTCATCTTTGTATCCATGGACATAGACTAGCAGTCAAAAGGTATGACATCCACTCCCTCGCCCATATCACTGCATACAGACAACCAGGGACATCAATTCGACTAGGACAACCAGCGTTCAGATATCAGACAGAGGAAATACCAAGTATGCTAGAGAATCTTTAGAAGCCTGGTACTCTAGTGAATTTTCACTTAGTAGACACATTGACACAAACAAACAAAATTTACCAATCGATAGGAAGGAAATCTCACACACGAAGGATCAAAGTTCAAGTCAAGGGAATAATGAGCTCCAAGACATGTAGCCTAGAGGATGTGAAAACGCACGAAAATAACTATTCACGTTCAAGGTGGAGAAATCTAAAACTCACATCATCAATTGAAGTATGCGGTGTAGATGTTGCCTAGTAGGGCAATGCAAGCTTCTCAAATAAATCACCCACCCAGCTCAGAGAACACAACCACATAATAATTTGCAAATTGTGAATGTAATTTATGATGTCGCCAGTTTGCCGAAGGAGCAGCTATCCAGAAATCGGGTGTTTTGAGCTAATTCAGCGATCTGAGCTAAGCGAAACAGAGTACACCGGTGATGAGCTCAGCAGTAAGTGAGTGAAGCGGCAGTCTGGTGTTTAGATCACGTAGATCTGGTTAGCTGGCAAACACCACTGGTTGATATGATGCGGTGTTATACAAGTGTAATGACAGAAGACAAGGGTCAGGCAACAGATCGTTTATTCAGGAAATCAAGAGATATTTATAAATTTTTGTGTACGTCATCATTATCGTTATTGTTTGAAGCAAAGCGACGCGTTCTGATTGGTTTCTTTCTTGCTGAAGGCTTTTCTGTACTGTTTGCGACCGTTTCTCAGAAAGTTAAGCCATATATCTGCGAATCTTATTTGCACACACTAGTTCTGCCGTGATTGGTTAATGAGCTCCTCAAGGTTAAGCTTAGTTATTGTTTTTTCTCATGCCCCCGATTCAGGATGTGAATATTGACGTAAATTATTGTCTACAATTTTTGGTTTGCAGTCAGCTCTCACCATACATCTGCTTACCCTAAACAGTCAGCAGTATTATAATTTCAGACATCGAAGCAGTCAGTAGTAAGATCATGTCTTTGACTTTTCAATGAAAAATAGCTTACACCGAGAAGGTGACAAAGTGCTTCTTTTTCACAATAGGCAAACAGCCTTGTAGGATCTGAAATGCTACAAGTGCAAACTATGACTTCCTCTCCAATTTGAACACAAACCACGTCCTCAAATGTCTCGAATTCTTGAGACCTACCCATTCTCTTGGTCCATATGAGGTACTAGCTATTCCCCTCAACAAATGCGGTGGCATTTTATGTTATCATGTCATTGGTATTTTCAATGAATCGTTTTCTACTAACATTGTACCTGCTTCTTGCAAGGACTAAGTGGACCAAGTGTTAAGTTCAGACCTATTCCCATTACGTCACCTTTTTTTAAAATTATGGAAAAACTGCTTTTACTTAACGTTGAATCTTCATTGAAGGCTTTTAATGACCTTAATCACTTTGCTTATAAACGTAGCAGGTGTACTTTAAATGCCACTGTCGTCTTATATCATAATATTGCCTCTAACTTAGAGGTGTGTCTTCCTAGATTACACATCTGCCTTTGACTCTATACCCACGTCTCTTTTTTTAAACAAGCACATTGCTGGATTTCCAAGTGGTTGCATTCCTACTTTTCTGATAGGAAGCAGTAGACTGTTTACAATGAAAAGTCCTACACTGCATCAATTACTCTAGCGGGTGTTCTTCAGGGAGTTGTCACTTATCCTTTTCTGTTTTCCTTCTTCGTACATGACTTGCCCCAGTCTTCTGACGAAGCCAATTTTGTTAAGTTTGCCGATGACCTGACTGTTTCTGAGCCTGCTACTTCTCAGTCCAAAATGTTAGAGAACCACTGGAAAATCTGGGAGTACTGGACAGCTGCTTCCCCCGTCCTAGTTTGGGACTCTTCATCAGTACACACCCACCGGGGTTCGAGCCCGGGAACTTCTGGTTACAAGGCAAGCTTTTAGATCATTGGATCCGGTCCCAGTGGCTCAATGGTATATGAGCTCGCCTTGTAACCAGAATGTCCTTGGTTCCAACCCCGGTGGTGGACGCATATCGCTGAACTGAACAGTCCTAAACTAGGACGAAACAGCTGTCCAGTACTCTCAGGTTTTCCTATTGTTTTCTAACCAATGTCAGTCAATGGTGAAATCCTCCATGTAATCAAAAAGAATCCCTACAAAACCAATACTTGAAAACACTCCAAATTAAATAACTTTTTATCAGAAATTAGTCAGTGGTCCTTGTCATTTGGTCTTAAGGTGAATCCCTCCAAATGTCAGATGGTTAATATCACCTTCAAATGCAAGCGCAAATTACGTGAACCGGTTAGTTCGCACGATTCCATTATCATAGGTGGCATTGAAGTTGAAACCAAGTCGAATTTTAAATACCTTGGATTGTGCATTTCCTCTGGTCTTTTCTGATTTTCCGTCCAATCATGTTAGTTTCCAGAAAGATATTCCTCTTGACCTTCTATGTTAGGAAGTTAAAAGTTAAAATTATTCTACCTGTACTTCTATAGTGTTCCCAGTTTAATCTTTCCTGAGCTGCTTAAGTAAGACTGCCTTGTTATACTAAGTAGGGTGCTAAAAGCCCTCAGTTAATACTATTGTAGACAGTAGACACTTGGATTCCTGCAAGAATTTAGAAAATATTATCCTGTCAGACTCTGAACATCCTCTCCATACACAACTGTCTCCTTGCATCTATCTCATCGGGTAGAACTAGTGTAACAGCAGAAGACAAGGGTCAGGCAACAGATCGTTTTATTACGGAAATCAGCACGTATTTATATATATTTCATGTACATTATTATAGCTTATTCAAGCAGACAAACACAGTCTTCTGATTGGTTGTTTCTTGCTCAAGGTTATTTTGTACTCCTTGTGACTGGTTTCTCAGAAAGTTGAGCTATGTATCTGCGAATCGTATTTGCCTACGTTAAATCTGATGTGATTGGTTGTTGAATCAGTCTTGTTCATATTTTCTCACGGCTAATATTAGCGACCTAGACATTGACGTAAATTATTGTCTACCAATTGGTTAGCAGCCTGCTATCACCACACTAGAAGCAAGCATAGAAGACTATATGTTTGGACTATTCAGTACAAAATCTCTACAATACCTTATTTAATCAGGACACATTTTGATGTGATGAGAAAAGTGTGTAAGACAGGAAATTATCAACATACTGAGGAACTCTAAGTAAACGGCCCCATTGTTTCTCTCTGTTCTCATTATGACATTGTCGTTAATATTTTCATACTGGACAATATT